GTCTTGGTTAGAGAGAGAGAGATCTGAATGATGGACCCATCACAGGGATTGCAATTTTTGGGTTGGAAATCTTGATTTCAAAAGTATAACTAATTAGACGGATGGAGGAAGACTATATGTGCTTAGCGCAATTATACATCTCGTACACACGAAGGATGTGGAATACTTAACACTTTGAATCACACAAAAAACACGTGTAAAATGCCCTAGGTACATTAATCAAGGAGTGTCGAATCTAGGATTTGCTTCGGTGACTATTTCATGATAAAGAAAAATGGTTTTCATAGGGAATTCATTTTCTTCACTTTAAGTATGCTTATTTTCTTTGACTGTAAATGGTTTTTCTGTTGACCAATCATTTTCAACAAACTAAACACACGAAAGTGCGGAAAATTAATTTGCAGAAAATTCTTTCACTCAAATGAACATGCCCCAAATTTAAATTTCGATGAATCCTAGGTGAGCACATTTGAAGACAAAGAGCGAGGCGTACCACTTGAATGCGCTCTAGTCGACGAGTGTTGATGAGAAATCATCGTGATTGAACACCTAATTTCAGTGACAAATTGATGTAATATGGATTAATCATCTTAATTTCTTAGGATATTTGTCCAAAAAGCCTCCAACCTATTGCACTGCAGCCAATTCAGTCATAAACTTTTCAATTATGTCAATTTAGTCCTAAACATATTATTTGGATATTTGGTCGGAAGGCTACATTGGCAAATTGTCAAAATGCTCGAGATTAAATTGACAAATCATCAAAATATTTAGGAAGAAATTTCCACAATTGAAAGATTTATGATTGAATTGGTAAATTGTTAAAAGGTTTGGGACTACGTTGGCACAATTGAAAGATTTAATACTAAATTGGCCTCCGTACAATAATTTTATGACTTTTGAACAATTTTCCCTAATTTCTTTGAAGTACCCTCGTTTCGTCAACCTAACATTTACTTGTCGAAATATAATCATACAATCATAACTTAACGTAATCTTAGCCAAGACCGAATATCCCTAATTATCTAATTAATGAGATATATATATATGTGTGTGGTTAATTCCAAAAAAAAGCACCAATTTTAGGTCGAGGGACAATTTTGGCCCAAATTTTTTTTTTTTGTTCCATAAAAAAACATCAACTTTAGGTCGAAGGACAATTATGGCCCGAACTTTTTTTTGTCCCGTAAAAAAGCACCAACTTTAGGTCAAGGGATAATTCTAGCCCGAACTTTTTTTTGTCTCGTAAAAAAGCTCCAACTTTCACTTAAATCCCAAATCTTGCCCTTATTGACTTAAAACCATTGATTTTCCAACTTGACTATTCCACCTTAGCAATAAATCCACATGACTTGTTGACTGGATTTAAAGCATTATTCTCTGAATCACAGCTTGAAGAATAACGGTGAAATTGTTCGTCTCCTTCACTTCACCGGCAAATCAAAAATATCTCCAGATTGAATCTTTCTGGCCAAACTTCGTCATTTTGTCGTAATCTGAAGCTGTAGACCATCGTCCGTCGACAGACGCCATGGAAGAGATTCGCCAGGCTCACCACCATAACTTTTTTTCTCAAACAAGGGTAACTTCAGACAGAAAATCAATGGGGGGCCAAATTTGGGATTTAAATGAAAGTTGGTGCTTTTTTACGAGACAAAAAAAAATTCGGGCCATAATTGTCTCTCGACCTAAAGTTGGTGCTTTTTTATGGGACAAAAAAAAGTTCGGGACAATTAAGTTCGGGTCAGAATTGTCCATCGATCTAAAATTGGTGCTTTTTTATGGAACAAAAAAAAATTCGGGCTAGAATTATCCATCGATCTAAAATTGGTGCTTTTTTTTGAATTAAGCCGAGAGATATGGGGCCTGTGGGCAATTGAGACAGTTTCAGGCGGCACAAGAGAGAGAGAGAGAGAGAGAGAGAGAGAGAGAGAGAGAGAGAGAGAGAGAGATGGGGCCTGTGGGCAATTGAGACAGTGTCAGGTGGCACAAAAGGGGCCATGGCCTCACGATATGCAAGCACCGTTTGAAAACTACACCAGATTTGGACTCACCCTCGATTTCCAATCCACAGAAATCATGCAAAGAGAAAACCCCACCTCCACATCCAACGTGTTCGCTCGGTGCTTGTGATCCTTGAAGCGCATACGTAGCCTACTCCTTCATCGTAATAAATAACGATATATTCTCCTGCTTATAATTACGTTTGTGTTTCTAGAATGTCATCTCGTTAGGTTCATGTGTCCTGTTGATTCAGGGCCTTTCTTTCTTCTATTTTTCCAGATAAAAGCACCCTTCAATTGGTTGATTATGGTTTATGTTGTCTGTGGCCTCCGGATTTTTTCGTTTCGGTTTCGGTACGTATGTTGACATCGTTTGCTTTTGTTAGGAAGGAGGCGCGGGTATTAGTTCGATTCGTGTTGGTCTTGGGTACCATACATGAGGTCGCTTTCGCCTATCTTCATACCATCAAGATTTTGATGAGCAACCCACTTTTTCACTACTTTTAAGTTTTTGATAAGACCCAACTTGATTATACATAAAAGTAAGGTAATCCTATCGTATCATCTCATATTCAGTCTGCACTCTTTCTAACTTTTCTTCCGGATTAGTGCAGATTCAGAACTAAAGATTTTGGCCATTGATCAATCGGGGACTTAAGGTTTTAAGAAAACTCCAATTAAGTCTTCGAGCTTCCCGCCGGTTGTATTCAGCCCAAATATTCCACGTGGGAACCATGTCAGATTTCCAAAGCTTGAATTCCACAAGCGGCGATCGCAAGACCTGATTGGGGCTCTTTTAAAATGTGTCGAGTCCTAAATTGACCATAATAAAACCTTAAGTCCTCAGGTGACCAACGGTCAAAACATAATTTGCGCTCACCTGCTCTTATTTTGTGAAATTGAATCATCTAACTCTTTCAATTGATTCAATCAAATGGTTTACAACTGCAATTTACTGATGCAATATTGTTAATGTGGTCACAGTTACACATATGACGTTAAATGAAAAAAATCAATAAATGACAGAAAGAATAGAGGAAGAGGAGATAGGTGCGGTTGGGCAATCGCACCTAGCTAGACTCTATCAAAGCCCCATACACCTCGCCAAGCAAGGGTAGGATTCGACGCTCGCCATGCTGCAAGTGAAGGATTGATCGAACCCTTGTCTGTCCGAGCGAGGGAGGAAAATCCGAAGGGGACATCATTGTCCTCTACGATCACCGGTGAGTGTGCTTGGAGCTTGCCGGTGGCCCACGATGGTCGCTTTAACCTCGTCGGCAATTGTAAGGAGAATGTCATGTTGAGTAGGCTCAGAGACTTGATTGTACAGAATAAACTTTAGAAGAATTTCAAAACAGTAAAAAACGTGAAGACTAAAAGTACAGTATGCAGAGAGAGAGAGGGGTTTTATTTAGAAGAATCTAAAAACGGTATAAAATTGTGAAGATTAACCCTAATTTTAACTCTGGAATATAACAGCTTCAGAGAGAGAGAGAGAGAGAGCGCAATAATGTTTCAACAGATGAAAGCAATCATTGCCATTTCATGTGAGCTGCTCAGTAAAATAGATCTCTGCAGACGTTTGTCATTCACTTCACCAGCTGAGGTTGATCATATTATACATTATAGACAAAATCTTAAAGAAACAATTTCCCCAAAGAACAACACTGGTTTTGCATGCTAGAACATGCTGCTTTTCGTACATTTCTCTTTTGGGTAATATTATATTTCCCTTCTCCTTTCATTCAACAAATTTGTTTTTATTTTATTTTATCTTTTTGTGCTTTTCATTGGAGGTATAACGAGATATGTGTCGAATGACAGGATTAATTAGTGTGAGAAGAGTGAGCTTTTTTTTTTTTACCAATTCAATGATGATGGAAAATCGATATAATCGCAGCTAATTAGGTAAAAAAAAGTCCAATTTTCTATTATTCCACTCATTTGCTGCGATGATTCGTAAATTTTATAGCATTGAATAGAATTTGAAATCCTAAAAGAAATTATATATAAATATGAAACGGTGGAAGGAAAAGGGTGTGTGCATCACTCGTCTCTTGCTTGCACAAAGCATTGAATAGAATTTGGCAATATTATGGGAAGAGGCAAGATATTCCATGCAATTCTGATCTGTCTCGTCTCTCGTCGACCTCAAATATTCCTTGTATTAAACATTGACCCCCGGTTCATGCCAATATAAATAATTAATGTCTTTTGGGATCTTCCTCTGGCGGAGGAAAACGAAATATTTATTATTGTCTTTTCAATGGTTAGGAAAAAACATTATTTATTTATTTATTATTTATTTGGGAAGATTATATATAGGCTTTTGGTGGTTACTTTAGACTGAATGTTTTGATTTTGAAATACTTTTTAGGGATAATTAACCATTCTCATGATTGTCATAATCCTACAGTTTATTTTCTCTATAGAGTTACTTTTCCTAATAATTAACACTGTAAAATCACGACATCCAACGAAAGATCTTACCCCTCTTTCGATTTGTTTTAGTTGATCTTACGAACGCTTTCTTTCTCCACCTGATAACTTAATCTCTTGGATTAACGTGTTTGCAAATTATCTTCTGCAAAGATTCTAAACCACACCATCTTAATTTATCTCCTCCCTCAACTGACTATGACCTTGACCACAGGTCACGATTGATGGATACGCATCTCTTCTGTACCTTTCGCGCGGCCATCAATCAATATCTGGCTAGCTAGTGTTCTCCTACTTCTTGGCTTATATTTGCTTCCTATCAACTCAAACTAGCTAAATTATTGCAAAGAGGTGGGGGTAAAATAGTTTTTATTTTGGAAGGTAATAAGAGTCTTGAAAAGATAGGATCAGTTTTCTTCTTCACCCCTCTTCTGGTGTTTTTTTATCTCTTTCACATCTGGTTGGGTCATTCAGGAAACAAGAGCACTCACGTGACTGACTTGGTAGGGTTCACTCTTGTTCTCTCCCCTTTAAAAGACCCTGAACAGTCTTTAACATAGGCCCTTTTTGCGCCTCTCTCTCTCTCTCTCTGTCTTTTTCTCTGATCCCTTCTTCTTCTTCTTCTTCAGATTTCCTTCCACTTTTGCCTGAAAAAGGTTTATCATATACTTTTTGCTTCTTCTTTTTGTGATCTGGTCCGTTTGATCTCTCTCAATGAATTCAGCTAATTACCGCATAATACTGCCTTCGCGCCTTGTTCTTGACCTTAATGAGGATCATCAGAGCCATGAACTCTTCTTGATGAGCCCACCGAAATCTGAAGCTTCATCTTCATCTTCCTTCCCTCTCTCATCACCAAGTCCCATCTTCTACAACTTATTAGGTCAAGATCATCAAGGCGGGTCATGCAAATATGAAGATCATCATCAGCTTGAGAAGCTCCAACACCCTCAGGAGGTAAATACTAAATATAAAATCCACTAATCAAAATATATACACAGACATATATGTTTGTATATAGTTGCACTTACAAATTTTTCTAGTCATATTTTGACATCTAGAAAACTTCACATGTGCAGGTTGATCACAAGCCCGTTTCACAAGGAGAGTCTCATGGTGGTCATGGACTCAACGTAACCTTGTGGAAGAAAGGAGGAGGAGGAGTGAGAGATGAGAGTGACCAAGTGGACAAGTATTACTCGGTGAAGTGGATGTCTTCCAAGATGAGAATCATGAAGAAGATCATGAGCGCAGATCACCATGAACAATCACGGGACAACACCCCGATGATGACTAGTGGTTCAATTTCAGCTGGTGGCAATCACAAGTTGTTCGTCGAAGATCACAAGCAATTACCATCATCATCTTCTCTCGAGACTGATAGCAGCAGCAACAGCTCCTCCTACAACACCAACCCAATTAGGGTTTGCTCAGATTGTAACACCACCAAGACTCCACTTTGGAGGAGCGGGCCAAGAGGTCCAAAGGTATATATATATAGATATATGATCTGTTATAGCTTTAACTAAATTTCGTCGAATTCAAGTTGCTTTCTAGTGTAGATTCCGCAAGAGTATCACAGATGATGCAGCAGTTAACTTAAGCAAAGGTTCTCCTGAGCTGAAAAGTTTTGATACCCATGATAGATGTCAAAATTAGCTTTAATACTCGAATCTTTTGTTTTTTTGAGTTTGAGATAGATCATAAAGATTTTAATTATAGTCAAGTTAATTATTATATAATTACACTAGAGTTCTTTTTTGTGATCTTGAGTTCAACTAATTTTCCGTGTTATCTTGTCCTAACTCAGCTCGATATATGGCCTCAAAAAATTAATGCACGATTTTTGATTTCTCAACTTGGTGCAGTCTCTCTGCAATGCTTGCGGGATCCGGCAAAGGAAGGCAAGACGAGCCATGGCCGCCGCCGCTGCGGTTGCCGCTGCCGCAGAAAGTGGAGCTCTTCCTCCGGCCACAATGCCATCTCCAAAGAGCAAGTTGAAACAACACAAGAACAAAAGGTCAAGCAGGGCCGCAGGTTGTGGACAAGAGCCGATAAAAAAGAAGCGCAAAGCAAAACCACATAATAATCATGCATCCGCCAGTGGAAGAAAGCTTTGCTTGGAAGAGTTTGCCATAAGGTTGAGCAAGCATTTAGCTTTCCAGCGAGTGTTCCCTCAGGAAGAGAAGGAAGCTGCCATCTTGCTCATGGCTTTATCCTATGGAATCGTTCATGGCTGATGACTGACGACAATGATCAGTTTGCAAGAAAGAGACAAAGTTTTTCTTACAAGAACGGTTCGATTCATATATTTTCGTTTAGTACTTGAACGACCTTATCAGGAAGTGACATGTTTTACTTAGTTTGAGTCGATGTAGGTTGGAGGGGAAACCAAACCCAGATGAGGATTAGTGAACTGAATAATTATAATGTATCAGACATAATAATAATTGATGTGGTCTCGTCGTGTTGAAGTTGTAGTTCAGCAAGATGATAACCAAAGTATGGATCTCCCGTTTGTTTACATGTTGGTTTTGAAGGTTATCAACAAGAGAATTGATTTAAAAGATCGACTTATTCTATGCCCCCTTATATGTACTTATTTTTGTGCTCGCTATATTTGTTTTCTTAAATCAGATCGGTCATATATGAAATCCACGTAATCTGATGTTCACATGCATTGGGTGCACATACGCAGCGCATGTTAGAATTTTTCGTTTTGCGGTTTCTTGCTGGTCCATAAATTGGGATTAAGCACTTGTTTTTCCATTTCTAAATTTATTGTTATATGAGGACCCTCCCTAGGCTTAATTAATCACGACTTTACTGTCCAATGGGTAGAGAACAAAGTGAACTCAGTTTGCTAACAAGGCTCATTCATGGTTCTATTCATATATAAGCCATATTTATTCTTGTAGTTAGAACTTAGATCCTAGATATTGTTGTATTCATCTTCAGGACATGCAATCAAGTTTCACACATTTAATGACTTATGTTACCAGATGATCATTTACAGTCTACGATGAACAAAATCTACGTAAGATACACAAGCATGTAAATTGTAATTGTTAGTTTAGAGTTTCCATTTTGGGATGTGCTTGCAACTTCTGTTCACTTCTTAAATTTTGTGGCTGGATTTTCCAGCTAGGGCTTCTAGTCTTGCCATTTCTGGAGCACGACGATGCGGTAAGCAGGAAAGACAAGCAACAACAAGCAAACTAACAGTACTCTATACTATAGTCTATTTTCCATAGCTAACTACGAGTTTAGCAAAGACAACTAGGACCATGGATCCAATTCAATCATGATGGTGATGATTCAAGCAGGCCCATCACTGCTTTTTTCTTTTTTTCCTGCTCTGAGCCCTCAGAGGGAAAAGAACCTAAAAAGATAGTACCCATTGTCTCAGACGTTGTCTGTACTCGAGTCTGATCAGTATTCTTCAATTAGGGTTGTCCCAGGTGGAAGAGAAAGGCTATAGGATTGTATGCTCATCATGAGATGGGGAAGACCATGCATTGCATTGGCTAGATTTTACTTTTTTTCTGCATTTTTAATTTTATTTTGCACTTTGTGTGTGTGTGTGTGTGTGTTTAAAGTTATATCAGTAGTTCAGAACCAGATGGTCCCAAGCTGCGAGAAGAGAGATACATTGGCTGTGGAGAAGAAGATGGATAAGGGTTTTCAAAGTTTGATTTTTCTCATGCAGGGCTGTGAGCTTTTAAGAGATGAGCCAACCCTTTATCATGGCAGATTTTTCACTTTTAGACGAGGAAAGCTAGAAACTAGGGGTGTGCAACGGGAACCACCCGGACCGGGACCGGACCGGACCGGTCGGTTCTGGGCGGGCCTAGGGGGTGTTGGTCCGGTCCCCGGTTCCCATTTTTGGAACCGGTGGACGGTCGGTCCGGTTCCCGGTTCCATGGTGAGAACCGGACCGACCGAACCGATAGGACCGGACCGATCATTTATGCATATTTTTTAAAAATTAGCTAGTTATTTTTTTTATCTTTTCAAGGAATTTATTTGTTATTAATGACTTGTCAATTTTGTGAGCCATCAAGCTGCTGCGAATGGATTGACTTTTTTATTTTTTTTTAAATTTCTAAACAGTTACTTTACTTTCCCAATTTTCTGCCTTCTACTTACTTTCCCAATTTTTCCTCTCGGTAACCCTAACTACAGTAACTTGAGCAAAGCCAAGCCTTCCCGCGTCCAAGCCTTCCCAGTTTCCCTTTTGCCGCCTCGCCTCACGCCTTGCTCCGAGCGAGTCGCTCGACGTCAGACGCCTTTCCCTCTTGTAGCCTCGCCTCTCGCCTCGCTCGACGTCCTCTCGCAGCCTCGCCTCACGCCTCGCCTCACGGCTCGCGGCCTCACCTCACACCTTGCTCTGAGCGAGTCGCTCGACGTTGATCGCCTTTTCCTCTTGCGGCCTCGCCTCTCGCCTTGCTCGACGTCCTCTCGCGGCCTCGCCTTAGGTCTCCCTTTCTGCCTCGCGGCCTCGCCTTCCGCCTCGCGGCCTCGCCTCAAAGTTCCGCCAAATTCACTATGATGATGCAGTCACACGTGAGCTTCCATTTTTGTTATTTCTATGTCCCTCCAAAGTATAAATGATCGTCTTCAAATTGTTGTGCTTTTTGGCAGATTACTTGATGAAGAACAAGTTGGAGGTGAAGAGACTACGGTGGAAGATGATGGATTTTTGAAGGCCTTCAAGGGTTTTTACTTGACGTTAAACCTAGAAGATTACGTCGGTGAGCTCTCTCTCTCTCTGTCTCTAGTGTTGTACCTTTCTTTCTAGCTGACTTGATCTGTCGTGGAATTAATTTGTGCGGTGGGGGGGTCCTGATGATTTATGCATAGTTTGGTCATCTCTTTTAATGCGTTCAAGAGTCTGAACCACCTGTGATTTTCAGGGAAATTCTTTCTGGATGAGTTTGTTCAAGTAGGCTAACAAAATATCAAGCTTCTTAGATTGTCTGTCAATCACAAAGCGAGGAACAAATCTTGTATATTTCACGAGATTCATCATTACCTCACTTGACCCTCAATCTCAAACGAACAGCCCTTTCCCGATTTCCTATAATCAGTAAGTTTTTCTCACTCAATTTGCTGAATTTGGTGGCTGAATTTGATGGCTGTTCTGGTGTGATGGCTCATTTCTATGTTTTGCTTGATTTAGGCGATCTATTTACATGTCAATGGAAGTGGATCAATCCAATGATGCTATGAATCCAATAATGGACTCACTAGAACATGAAAGTGAAGAAAACCTCGAAGAAGCATCCGACACAAACAAGGTATCTAATGCTCATCCTGCTAGTTCTGGAAAACGAACATCAGCAGCCTGGCTTCATTTTCGTAATGGCAAAACTGAGAATGGGAAAACCGAGAAGATTTGCAATTATTGTGGGGTTATATATTGGTACTGTGTTGATAACGGTACTTCTACTATGTCGAAGCACTTGAAAAAATGCAATAAGTATCCTCGCAACATAGATAAGAAGCAAAGATTTTTTACCCCACGTAGAGTGGATGGGACTAAAATGACAATGGGGCAGACTAGTACTGGTAGTACAAATGCCTTATCGACATGGAAATTTGATCAGGATCGTTGTAGGCAAATGCTTGTTCGGATGATTGTAATGGATGAGCAACCTTTTTCGATGGTTGAGCGCGTCGGATTTCGTGATTTTATTAATCAATTACAACCTCTCTTCAATCACATCTCGCGATTTACTGTGGCTAGAGATTCCATGAAGTTGTATCTTTGTGAAAAAAGAAGTTTGAATACTTACTTTCACAATCTTAAGTCTAGGGTTGCACTTACTACTGATACCTGGAGTTCCATTCAGAACTTGAATTATTTATGTCTCACCGCACATTTTATTGATGATGATTGGAAATTGCATAAAAGAATTATCAATTTTGTGGTGATGCCTAGTCACAAGGGCAAAGATATTGGGAAAATGGTTGAGAAATGCATCTATGAGTGGGGATTAGAGAAAAAAGTGTCCACAATCACCGTGGATAATGCTAGTTCGAATGATGTTGCCATTGGTTTTTTAAAAGAAAAATTATCAAGAGATAGGCTATTGATTTTAGAAGGTGATGTTTTACACATGAGGTGCACGGCTCATGTATTAAACTTGATTGTGAGGGATGGATTGACCGAGGTACGTGATTCTATTGCACGTATTCGGAGCGTGGTTAGGTATGTGAGAAGTTCTCCCATGAGAGCTAAAACATTCCAAGGTTGCATTGAGAGTGCAAGGATCACTTATAAGGGTTCAGTTTGTCTTGATGTCACAACTAGGTGGAACTCTACTTATCTCATGTTGGACACTGCCTTAAAGTTCCGAAAAGCTTTTGAAAGGATGGAAGAAGATGATCTTTCTTTCTTAACTGAGCTTGACTATGAAACTCCTAAACATGAAGATTGGGAAAGTGCTAGAATTCTTGCCGTATTTTTGAAGAAGTTTTACGATGCCACCAGCAAGATGTCTGGGACTTTGTACATTACTTCGAATGATTATTTTAATGAGATAGCTACTTTATATAAAACTCTAAAACAAGCGGAGAAGGCAACGGATCCTAGTTTGAAAGCTATGGGTGCAAAGATGAAGAAAAAGTTTGACAAATACTATGGGAGTTTCGAAAAAGTAAATATGATGGTGTTGATTGCGGTAATATTGGATCCAAGAAGAAAGATGAATTATGTGCGGTATTGTTATAGACTAATCTATGATGATAGTGCGAAAGTTGATGAAATATACAATAAGGTGAGGATTGCCTTGGAACGATTGTTTCATTTTTATGAGAAAGCTTATCTTGGTTCTTGTGAAAGAAATTTGGGTGGTTAATTTTTCATTGATACTAGTAGTAGCTGGGATCATGATAGCCATGAGGAGGGTGAGAAGGATGACCTTGATTCGGTTGAGGATTTCACTTCAGAAAAGGCGTTTGATATCTTTCTTCACGAGGAGAAAAAAGTGTCCGCGGGCAAGTTATCTGAACTCGATAAGTATCTTGAAGCCGAACGTGAAGAAAGTCGTGATCTTGACCTTTTGATGTGGTGGAAAACTGCTGGCCAAAAGTTTAAAATCCTTTCTATGATGGCTCGGGATATTTTATCAATTCCTGTAACAACCGTTGCTTCGGAGTCAACTTTCAGTACATCTGGTCGTGTACTTGATGGCTTTCGAAGTTCTTTGAATCCTAGAGTGGTGGAAGCTTTGATTTGCACTCAAGATTGGTTAAGGATGGTTACCATGCCGATTAATGTTGAAGAGTGCATCCAAAATGCGAAAAGGTTTGAATGGGGTAAGTCATTGATGTATCTTTTTATCTTGTAATTCTTTTATATATCTAATAAGTGAATACTTTATTTAATATTTTGATTTTTTAGATATGGATGATGTTAACTCAGAGCTTACCAATAAATAGAGTTTGCTGGTTCAAATAGAAGAAATATATGTGGTGAGATTTTCCATTAATTATTTGAGTTCAATTTCTAGTAATTCTAGTTTAAACTAATGTTGAGTGCTCATATATACTTATTGCAGGGCTATCAGCAAGTTTAGCCATGCTTTTTGGTCTCTCAGCTTTGATCATATTTTTAGGCTCTCAGCTGTGGTTTTTGGAACAAACCTCCAGCTCCTTTACTAATTTCTTTTGACACTAAGGAAGTCAGGAAACAAGCTGCTGCTTCCACAAAGAGGTTGGAGGAAGGTAGGGCAATCTACTGGAACATGAGCTTAAGTCATTGAAATGGTTGTTTTTGCACCTTCAACGTATGGTTCTTGCTTGGTGTGCAGTGCACTACCATTAGATGGTGCAGGGGAGGCTTGATAAATTAATGGCATTTCTGATGCAGGGAAGCCATTATCTATCTTGGACGGGATTTTCATGGCAATTAAGGATGACATAGGTTGCCACCCACAGGTAAAGTTTGTTCCGGGAACTATAATTTGCCGCGGCACTTCATCTATGGCCAGATTGAGTGTTGAACTTCAACACTTAAATAAATGTAATTTTTGACTTCCAATGGATAGTATTGAACAATGGCAGAAGTGTGTATTGAACTTTTGTTGATATGGGGTTCTACTCTTCTTCTTTTTTGCCTCTCTAATAACACGTGTTTAAATTAGGGGATGTATATTTTTGGAAGCCCACATGGGACATATATTTTTTTTTACAAGTATTTGATTCATTTGTGAGCTTTTAAGAGATGAGCCAACCCTTTATCATGGCAGATTTTTCACTTTTAGACGAGGACAGCTAGAAACCCCAATTTCAGTAAGTTGATGTTTGAAATACAGTGGGACATTAGTTGGACTTTCCATTACGATGTTGCGGCTCTTCTGTCAAAGTGTTCGACGGCACTTCTAAGTCCTCGATGCCTTTAAATTTGCAACACTTCAAAATTAACTTGAGAAAGCAAAATTGTTAGTGCTGTTATGGAGTTTTCGAGACTTTAATCTTATATCGCCGTGACATTCATTTCATTATTTTAGATATTATCGAACAAGTGAAAATATATTTGATCATTTAATATCGATACCGTTCGGTGCTCATGCAATTACAACCCTAAATAATATTTCTAGAAGAAATAAACTTCTCACATGAGCACTTGGACGAAAATATATGTTAATTTTTATTATAAGCCAGTACTTTACTTTGACGATTTGGGGTTTTCTCATGCCTATTGTTTTGCGCCTCCAATTTACTTAGGTTCCAAATGCAACTAAGATGGTATCGGAACTTAGATTATTAAAGTAAGGTCATCAAAGTAAAGTGAATAAAGGATGTTGCATAATGATAGATTCATATCATGAGCATAGAGATGCTTGGAGGGAGTTTAATCATTTGGGAGTTCTTGCCAAGTTTTGGGTTATAGGCTCCTTGAATATTGTACTCTGCAATGGCTCAATGCTTGTTTGAGGAATGCTATAATTCAATTAGATTAGTTCACGTATTCGATGAGGATCTGGAGTCTAATGAACTTACTTAATCTATCATAATCTAAAGTACATGAAAGCTTATGTAACAGATTCTAGTTCTACTACTCACAAAAAGCGTGGAGTAGACTTGAAATCTTGTTATATCTCTACTTAGAAAAAGGGAGCAAACATGTGATTTCAGACTTCGGGCCATTTGTTAAACAACTAATGAAGAAAATCGGGGAAAATTATCTAAAAAGTCTTAAACTTATTATACGGAGGCCAATTCAGTCATAAACCTTTCATTTGTGCCAATTTAGTCATAAAATTTTTAACGATTAGTCAATTTAGTCATAAACCTTTCCATTATGCCACTTTAGTCATAAACCTTTTAATAATTTGCCAATTTAGTCCTAAACCTTTTAAAAATTTGTCAATGTAGTTCTTCTGGCCAAATATCCAAATAATATATTTATGAATGAATTGGCAAATCTTCAAAAGGTTTAGGCTATATTGACACAAAGAAAGATTTATCACTAAATTGGCAAATCGTCTAAAGGTTTAGGACTAAAACAATACAATTGTGCACAAAAATTGTACCAAACAATCTCTAAAGAAAATTAAATATGAAAATCTTGAAAAGGAGCCTCTTTCACAATAGGCTTTTTAAAGAATACTTGAAGTGAATACTTTGATTATAAATAGGGTTAATACTGCGAAAAATCTCAAACTAGTACACATGCGACAAATTTACCTCAAATAAAAAAAATCCCAAACTGGAACACCTGTGACAATTTTACCCTCCGTTAGTGTACGTTAAATTTTACCGTCAAATTTTTAAATTGGATGACATATAGTAGTTGATGGCCATACAAGTTTGGGGTTTTACCATCCATTTGTTACAAATGTACCAGTTTATGATTTTTCGTGATATTAATCTAATTTAATAGATGGTAAATTTGTCATAAATATATCAGTTTGTGGTTTTTTATAGTCAAAAAATTATTTTAGGGAAAATTTGTCACAGATGTACTAGTTTTGGGATTTTTTATGATAAAAAATTAGTTTTAAGTAAATTTGTCACAAGTGTACCATTTTGTGGTTTTTCGTAGTATTAATCTTAGGCTGCGTTTGATCGCCCAGATTTGGATTAGGATAGAATATGATAAGTTGGGATAAGAAATCCTTCAAATATCCTTCGGATCGTAAAAAATCATTTGCTCATACAGCTAATACTTTCCAAATCTATGATAGCATCCTCCTAACGTAATCTCGCACGGCCGAGACCAGCACCATTTTGAGCGATTACTGTTTTCGCCAGAGATCCTCCTCCTTCTCCTTTGAAATCTTCCGATTGTTAGCATAGAGTCTTAGATCTGAGTAGATGATGTTATCGAATGTAGAAGCATCATGGCAAAATCAGGTGACCACCGTTCAGGACCATCATACGTTGAAGCATCACGCTGGTTCGGTTCAACAGTCATCAAAAGACAATTGGCTGGATGGCAATGACGATTAGCGTTGGTCGGAGACGATGACGATTGCACGGTGGTCGAGAGTGATAGGCTGTTGTGGTGGCTATTCATCAGACTCCATCTCCATTGTTGGAAGGAAATTGTTATGTTTTTTTTTCTTACTTTTTTATCCAACCCGGGTCTATCCCACCCCTTAGCCCGGATTTCTTATTTGACATTTTATTCGGGTATATTCGAGTTTATCCGATCTAGAAGGCGTTGCCAGACATTGCAAATGATATCTTGTTATCTTATCCGGACTACCAAACGTAGCTTTAATGATATACAATATGATATTATACCAATTATCGAGCAAGAGGGCGAACGTTGTCATATACATATATTTTATATCAACATCATTAGTTAGAAAAGATTTTTATTTAAAACTACGCTTTTCTTTGTCGAAAAGAAACTCTTGTTTCGTAGGAAAGTAACAGGCTCTCAATCCCATGTTTAGCTGTTAACTACAATCAATCATGGGATGATTGTGTCTGAATCGAGTTAATCCCACGCACTTGCAAGTAAGGGACAAAAAGTTGAAATCTTGGACACCCCCCATTTTCATATGGAGTCCCCTCCTCCTCCTCCTCCTCCTCCTCCGCCGCCGCCGCCGCCGCCGCCGCCACCGCCACCGCCGCCGCCATTCGACGCGCCTTCTCCGGCGGCATCGCACGCAGGTCGCTACAAGCCCATTTGGCGCCTCCTCTTGATTTCAAACCTCGCCCTCGGCGGTCAGTTCGCTTCTCTGTTTCCTCTCTCTGTCTACGCTGGCTAATCCCGCGTTCTTGTTTGGGGTCTCTGATTGCATTTGACTTGTTGGGGTCACATTAACTTCCGGTTCCTCGTATTAGAAAGTGTTGCCCATGTCGAAGTTTCGATCTTTTCGCACGTTGCGCGCGGAAAAGGCGGTTCTTGATCGTGGGCCTGGAGTTTCGTGCATTACCTGTTTGATGAAATGCTTGTGTGATGGGTTTAGCTGAGCTGATCCTTTTGTTTGTTAAATGTGTGCTTATTGGAAGCTGCGTTTGCCGCACGAAAAGTCCCTGTGGACAATCAATTTAGGTTTTTCATTTCCTATAGTGTAGGTTTTTTGGGCTGTTGCATCAGCACTAGCAACGGGCGTGTTCTAGAACTCGTCGCGAGAAGACCTTCCTCTTTTCTTATTCTTCTGCAGTCCTGGTTTTATACTTATAGTTATTGGACCCTTACTATAGATTTTTCTTACCTAGCAAAGTAGCCAACTAGTGAAACTTTGTCCTTACTCCGGGTTTATCAAAGGGTGTAGAATTGCTGCCTAAGAACTACTTTGAGTGCCCAAAAACAACAAAGAGGCCGATTTTGAGAACAATTTGTTTCGCCTTGAGGGGTGGTTATTGCTACTACTTAGGTTTCTGATTTTGGCTTTCGTATCACGGATCTTGGCCGTGCTTTATTTGAACTTACCTAACTTACCTCATAATGTATTTACACCATTAATTTCACCTACTAAGTTCAACACTAAGGAACGAGGATCCCTCATTTCACCAACCGCTTCTCAATGTCCTCTCCTTCTCGTATAAATACCTTAACCCTTCCACCCATTGAGAGTAACTAGGGAAGTCAGTCTAAGAACTCCAGAGATGAGCTGGTGAGGTATCTTGAAGGGATTCAGCTTTGAGGGTGTCTTTCTATGTGGGGGTAATCTTGTATAAAGTTTCTTGACTGTTGTATGAATTTCTCTATCAATGAAAGTTTCATCGCATATTAGTGTCTGCTCCTTCTAATTTAATAATTTTCACAATATTCACATGTTATGCCAGTAGCTTAAATGCAAAAAAGCGCCTTTGTTCATTGCAAAATGGCAATTTACTCTGCTCTTATCTTGGAGTCATCATTGCCATTCTTGATAAATAGGGACCGAGTTTTAGGAGGACTCTGATCATTTCATTTCTGAAATTTTGGGATGAGAAATGTGTAAGGGGATTTTCTTGGGTATAATGGAAAATGCTATTTAAACAATGCATATGTGCTCATGTTTTGCTGTCACAGCCTTGATAACGAGGCACTTCAGAAGGTTGCAAGGTAAATGGAAAGAAGCATTACTGCTTCATGGCTCCTACAGTCTAGTTATTTAGGTGCTTTCGTGAATGATGAGGAGATCATTAGAGCTGTCGTAAAAGGCCTGGGGAGATTGTTGGTTATTTTACAGCTATCTTTCTCTTCGTGATACTTACTTCATCTCATTTAGTATTTAACAGATATAGATATAAAGTGTCTTCCTGGTGTCAGCTGATTTTAAGTTTGTAGATCAAAACACCAAGAATGATGACCTCTTCTCATTGAGAAATTATCCAGATGAATCGGCTAATGTTTAGTCTGGCTCGACAGGGGACCCCAATGATGATTCTAATTATGGAAATATGCAGTCATCTTATCAGTGTATTGCTATGGAGTAAACTACAGTCTTTGGAAAGACAAATTTCAATTTTTTGACTTGTAGTCCCTCCAGGGAGTTGATTGATAAACCTGAATCTTAGATGAGGGGTGTTCCGTGAATGAAATTGTCTGATTCTACCATCTTCGCCTTTTACACGGAGGTTTGTAACCTATGTAGCTTGAAAGTGATATATTCCTCATTGTTGTGGACTGCATTTCTGAGATTTTGCTTCCCTATATGTTGAATAATCGGAGTAGACGCTGCATACACATGTAGAGACGAAGCACAGCTATAGATTGTGAAGTTCTCGACTTTGAACATTGCAGCTTATATCTTCTCACAAGCCGGGAGAAGGAACAAGATTAAAACTGCTGACCATGTGGTAGAAGAGAGCAAAGCGGCAAAAGAAGTTTCTGCTTCTCCACCAATAAATATGGATACTTATGCAGAGGAATCCCTTCTTCAGTCCTTGGCCACGGAGCCTGTGAAAATTCATCTGCCCATTCCTGAAGAAGAAAAACGGGAGCTATTCAAATGGATTCTAGAAGAGAAAAGGAAAGTGAAACCCAAGAACCATGAAGAGAAAAGGCAAATTGATGAGGAAAAGGCCATCCTTAAACAGTTCATCCGTGCAGAATCTATCCCGGATTTATAGCTAATTGTTCCAATTCCTCCTCAGTGGATTGTTAGTTAACATTTTGACTTACAAGAGCTGCTTTCAGGATATGCACATTTTTGTAGATCAATAACTGTTGAATTTCTATTGGTTGGCTGAGGCTTTTCTGCTGTGCTTGAGCTGCATGAGCTGCACTTACTTACCCTGAATGAGCGGGTTTTGCAGCTGTAGCTGGAAAAAGTTATCATTCTTGCCAGCTCTGGGAGAGGCAGACATCACATTATTCGGTGGTTTCTCGGCATGCAAGATGCAAACTACTCAAGCCTTCAATATCGGCGTCTTTGGTCATGCGTGGGCTGTACACAGTGCATGGGAGCTGATATAGAGTCACCAGAACCTCCTCAAGAGAAACCTTACAACTATTAGAGCATTATTTCTTTGACCACTAATCAACTCTTACATATGAGCGTTGCTAGTAAGGTTGAAATTTTATCTCCTTACAATTGTTACAGTGTCGTTGTACGGTGTTACTACGCTCCCTTTCAGGAGCTACTTCAGGCAGGACATATCAGAAATTTTCTCTCGACTCTTGTCGCTGTTGGTAATGAGAATTTGTGTTTTAATTTTCCAAATTTTACATAAATACAAATGAAAATCACTAAGCTTTAATGACTGGAATAAAGCGCAGTCATTGCGTCAATTTCAGTTGAAGTGCATTTTTGGGTAATGTTGAAGTCGGATTTCCAACCCCAACATTTTAAATCTTGCAGATTGAAGAAGATCAAGTTAAACAGTAACCTTTTTCCTCTTTCATATGAAATGAAAATACGGGATCGACGAATTGAGTTTTCCTCTAAAATCCGGATCCAATCATACAGAAGTAGTCTACAGCCGCAATTTGGATAATGTGCCCGTTTGGTTCGGCTTTTCAAATGCTATTTGGTGAACGCAAATACCTTTAGGTGAAAATCACTTGGGAAAATGCAAGTGGTGTTTGGTAAAAATCATATGAAAACCACTTGGGAAAATGTAATTGTGTTTGGTAAATTCCTTTTACAAATGGGCTTTGGGAGGTTTTTTTTTTTTTTTAAAGTACCCTTCGACGGCGAGCCATCCAATCATACAGAAGTAGTCTACAGCCACAACCCTGCTGCCGCCACCCTACGCCAACCAGCGCTTTGCTGAAGATTTTTTTTTTTTTTCAAAACACAATTAGCATTCCAAATGTCAGCCTTTCTATTTCATCTGATTCGAAAAGTAACCAAATGCCAATATGTGGTTGACCATCATCGGCGGTTCCCCGCAGGTAGAACTATATATCATGTACAAATGACGTAAAGTTAGTGCTCAGATTAGAACAGAACAGCGGAAGTTCTTGAAACCAAATGACCCAAACTGTAGTAACTGCCATTTGGAGAGAACGCTCATGGTCAAGCTAAAAATTCAAGAAATGACCGAGTGAGACAAATGTGAGATCTTGCATTTCTAGATTTTGAGGTGGATAACCTGCAATTTTATAATTGTGGGACCCTTCAATGCAACCTTACCTCAAGTCCAACCACATACACTCGTTCTCCTTCCGCTCTCTCTCTTTCTCTCCACCCCTCCAGGCAGGCAGGTTCAGTTGCAAAACAGAGTAGACTCCCTATTTTCGTAACTCTTCACCTTTTGCACTTGAAAGTTTTCTTGAGAACTGCGTTTTTTTCAATGCCGGGAACAATTCAAATTTCAGGTACTATTGCACCAATTGATCTTCATTACTTTATGGTACTCCATTCAGTTTCATGCTAATATAGAAGCCGGTCTTTTTGAGTTCTGCTCCAGTTCTGGATATTGTTAATCTTCCCTCTCCATCACCTCCCTCTCCCATGTCCATCCAAGGTTAGTATTTTCTTTTCCTTGCTTTTTGCTCGTTCACTGTCCTCATGAAGTATCAAAATTGAAGTGTTTGGATGCTGAAGTTCTTGATTTAAGGTTTTTCTTGGGCGGTGCAGTAACAATGGGGAAAAGGGAGTATCAGATTGGAGATGATGGTGATTTCTCAATGTAAAGCTACTTGTAATTAATTCAAATCTTTTGTCCCTTTGTCGGGTTTTTGAGTTTGCGACATTAGACGTTTTGATTAGGCATTCCTCGTGGTTTTGAGTTGGTGCAGTCCATTAACTACCCTCCGTGAGAATTTGGTTGTGAAACTACTGGACAAGGATGGGAACGAGGTGTCTCGAACAGGTACGGTGGGTATTTCTAGATTTAAAAGAATACGAACTTCTGATTTCCTGGTGGAGTAAGAATAACGGGATTTAATTATTCTGTTTGGAGGAAGGTGTTGAGACCAGATTGGTTGTTGAGAAAGGCATTTGGGATGATTTCTTCCCTTTTGAAGGCTGCGGGGAAGTGCATTTGAAGATCCAGTTCACCCTCAGCGAGGAAGAGCAGAATCGAATACGAGTGATGGTAATCTTCACTTCATCTCTCTAGGCTTGCAATGTTTATAATTCAGGACTAAACTCTTTTCTTCTCTCCCCTCATTTGTCGGTTTTAGTTTTAAAGGGGGACAAGAACACTATAAGTGCCAAAATTTATGTACAACGCTTAGTTTAGTGTCAAAAGTTTCAGCCGGATCACTTGAGTGCCAAACTTTTTGAAAAACGATCACTTAAGTACTAACTCCGGTCAGTTTGGCCGGAAATCCGACATGCCATTTTTTTATTAATTTTTGAAGCCGATGTGGTTCGTCGGAGGTTTAGTCAGTATGTGCACTTCAAAACGACGTAGTTTAGCTTATTCACCCTATTTTGGTTTAATTTTATTTTTTTCTTTTTTCCTTTCCTTTCTTTTTTTTTTCCTCTTCTTTATTTTTTCCTTTTTTTCCTTTTTTGATCTTCTCTTTGTTTTCCCGGTGGCCGCCCCGGCCACCAGCGAAGCCCGGGAAGGGCTGGGCGAGGGTCGTCGTAGCCCGATCTGGCGAGGCGACCGTCGCCCTCAAAAGCCATAGGCAAGGGTTGGCCTCACATGGGTGATGGGTGGCCGGCGAGACACGTCGCCCAGGCGAGGTCGGCCCTTGCCTGTGGCTTTTGAGGGTGGCCTCGCCCAGGGCAACGGTTGCCTTGCCTTCCCCCGGGCGACGCCCAGCGAGGCCGCCATGGCCTGGGCGAGGGGCAAGCGACGCTTGGCGAGGCCACTGTGCCCTGGGCAAGGGCCGGCCTCGCCGGAGCTCGCCCACCCTCGCCTAGGCGAGGGTCGGCCGGGCCTCGCCTGTGGCGAGCAGCGGCGGCCTCATCCGGGCGAGGCCAGGCTGCCGGCCATTGCCAGTGTCCGTGTCCGGTCTACGGTTAAAGGTAGAAGAAGAAGAAAAGAAGGAAAAAAAGAAAAAAATCAGAAAAAATATTTAAAAAATCGAAATATACACATGAAAATGCCACATAGACTGATTAAAAAAAAAATCCAACTCAGATTAAAATTTTAATTACAAAAGTCACGTATTAATTTGGCCGGAATTTCTTACCGTTGGCACTTAAGTAATCGTTTTTTCTCTGATTTAGTACTTAAGTGATCTAGCGAAAATTTTTGGCACTAAAATGAGTGCCGTAGACAAGTTTTGGCACTTCTAGTGTTCTTCTCCCTTTTAAAAGGTGACGGATTTGACTCAATACACTGGAATCGATCAGTTTACTTGCCAAAAAGTAATGGCATCATCTCTATCGCAGCATTTACTCAATCGTCTATTGTTCTTTGATACGTGCGCTTAATATTCCCTTTTAGAGACTATCTGCCCTAAAGAAGAAGCATGGTGAACTTCTCAACCCCACTGCTAAAGTTGCTGAGAGTGCTTCAGCTGTTCGGAGAAAAGTTTCCACTGAAGGGAATGTAGAAACTTCAGGTTTGCTCTTAATTTTTTTTATGAAACAGCAGATAAGAACAGAAACCTTGAAGTGATTTTTAGCATTTAGAACATGTTTATCTGATGTTCACATGTCTCTCTTCAAAGTATCACTTGGACACCCTCAAGTTGGACCCGAGAAGATCAAAGCAGAAATGGCACAAGGCGCTTCAGTGTCAGATTCTTTTGAAGTAGCTGATGCAAAATCTGGAATTCATAAACTGACTCAGCCTAGTGAGAAGCAAATAATCCCAGTTAAGGATCATACACAGTGTAAGCTTTTTTTCTGTTGTTCTGGACAAGATGAAGAGCAGTTCAAGTATCAATTCTTTCTAATGGTTTCTATGACTGTTCGTGAAGCATACAGATAGAAGTGAAGATACTTCACCAAGAAATCCATCTCAGAGAATTGATTCAAGCCCAACCAGAGTTAGTTCGAAGAAAATTTTCAAAAAGATTGAGAACCAGTCGCCAAATAATGCTGTTCTTGCAACAGCTTCTAAAGGAGAAGAGGATTCTTTGTTTCCTCATGCAACGTCAACCTCCTCCGCTGTGAAAACCTCTTCGGTCTGTCCTGGACTTGGGGAAGGCATCGCTCACAATACTGAGGCACAAGATCCTCTCGAGACTACTCCAAGCAATGTAAGGAAATTGATAAGTGTGTTTGAAAGTAGTCTAGCTCAGGTATATCTAGCATGCCGCCTCCAAAATTTATTTTAGTGCGTTGCTGTGAGCTTATTACGTTTTATGTTCATGATATGTTACCCTCAATCACAATTATCAGGATATGCAACCTCGTACAAAAGCACCACCGGCTAAAACAGAACCAAGCATGTCTGGAACGGAAAATATTGATAATCATCAATTTAAAAGAACTAAGATAGAGAATAGTAAAGGAGCTGAGCTGATTCCACAGAAGGTCCATAGTCCTTTTCTTAAGGAAGAGTCGCAACAAGCTGCATCACCAAGTGAAACAGGAATTGGTCCAACTAGACCACTGCGCGGTACTAAATCTTCTCATGACACTGGGCACTCGAATTTAAAAGCGACGGAGAATCAACCAGATAGTTCACATGATTGGTCTTCCGAGCAACATGATTCTAGTGGCAATATGGTTGGAATGAGTGGAAAAGCAATAGATTCTGTAGATTCACCAAAAATCAACTTTCGAAGAGCTTCGAATGATAAAGTGAAGTCAATGAGTTGCTGCCAAAGGGAACATGATGTATTTGAGAGGTCAGATGCGTGGATATTTCCCGACGAATCCAGAAACCTTTGTATTACTACGGGAGGGAAACTGGCGATGCATCTGATGGGATGCTGCAGTATTGAAACGAGTAGATGGAGGGGGAAGAGTAGGATTTCAATCCCCGAAAATGGTGCAGAGGTATACTTACGACTCTTAGCTTCCAGTCTTTTGGTCCATAAATTGGCTGTAATCATCTATACTCTTAGGTTCAAACCTGTTAGAGCAGGACAACATTGTGAAGAGTTGAAAGAACAAAATTTGATTGTGGGTGTGTGCGTACGGGGTTGCATATCTTAGAGACAGAAAAACTAAAGTATGTCCAACTTCCCAATCTAAGACTTTACTCTTACCCTGCACTTTTAAGATCATAGAGCCTGAGGGAACTTTTTATTTAAATATGGAATTTGAAGGACGTGTTGGTATAGTTATTACGTTGTGGTAAATTCTTCGACAGTTCTTTTTTATTATGTCTGGCTGTTAGCAACAAGGTGTGCCTTTCATCTTTTCTTAATGTTAAGTTTGGATTGAAATCAATGTTTTACTTCATTAGTAGGGTATGAAAGCAGTTGGAGATTTTCATATATTGGGGCTTCTCTGACTAATTTAACATTATGCTTGGTTGGCCTATATTATAAGCATTGCTAATCTCATCTTTGTTGAACGAGACTAATTTAGCAAGTACGCATCGGCATTAGAAGCATTCATGACTGTGATTGACAGACTACATTATTGAATATAAGATCTTAAAGAGCTGTTTTTGACGATCCTTCATACCTGCGTAAATTAGCGCATGGATTTGGAGCCTTGTGAATTTGTCTTGTTAGTGATTTTCAGCATATGGAGATGAGAAGAAATGAAAATGAGGTGAAGAAAGACCAGAAGAAATCTTACGGGAAGATTAGACCAAAAACAGACAGTTCAACTGACGTCGATCCTTCAGGAGGACCGTTCGGACAGGTGGAAATTCGCAGAATTTTTCTATGTTAATTTGAATATTCATAAGAAAAGGCTAATTTGGATCATTAGTTCTCGGTGAGATCTTCATTGTTATGTTTCATACATGGCAAATAATGTTGAGAAATCCGCAGATATGGTTGCGACTGATCGGTGGTCAGTCGCATGTGTTATTGCTCAGTGACTTGCGAATTAACTGGAATCAATCATCAGTACATTATAATCAGCGGAAAAACACAACTCGAACTGAAAGAACGAAAATCCCGTCAATTGTTAAATGTTTCTCCCTCCTTGCTAGGTGATGAAAGTTGCAATTATGGTAGGATTTGGGGCTCTTGTTCTGCTCACCAGGCAAAGAAAAGACAGGTACTTGTTGTACTTCTCCTTAGCCCGGCTCATTTTATCCTTGACAGTTTGTCCTGAAAAATCTCATCCGCGATCATGACAATTGACTGCAACCCGTGAAAACATTTCATAATTGCACTAGTCAGTAGTCACTTAAATATATGATAGTTTTATCAGCCTGCTTAGTTGATCTCGATGCTGACGTCGGCCAATATCGCTGCATTGCAGATAACATTGCATCGTGGTGAAGTAGCCAGCGGACGAAATTTCACATGATCGAGCCACAATAGTGTCTGGTTAAGGATTCACATCTGCTTGTTCATATTCTTTAGTATCGGCCAAAGATATCAGCACCCTCTTTCTTTTTGCCTGATTTACACGGGTAAAAGATCTTTATGTAAGCCCCGTTGAGCTGTAACTGTACATTCCTTGAAGCGACTCGATGATCTTGAATGCGGATCATCTTCTTCTCGAGCCCGTTCTTTCTTCACCATCTTCACCAATGCTGATGATCATTAGTTCTGTTAGACAATCACCTTGCAGTTCAAATGTCCCCCGTAAGAAAGAAGTAAGATTTCTCACGGTATATCATAAAACTGAAATTTAAATCTAAATTTCTCCTCTGACTTTTGTGCTAAAACGGTCCAATGAATGTGATATAGATAATCAATAGCAATCTTTCGACAATCATTAAGGTTAAACATGATTAGTGATATCAATTAGATCGCACAATATTTTGCTCGAATTGTGAAATTTAGTGCAAGAACAATTATTGAGGGTTACCGCCTACTATTTACTCAACGGGATGAGAGGAGAGTCCTATCGTGACCTGATAAATCCGGGGCTAAGAGGTTAAGAAGACGCCTCGAAGTTATTAGAAAAAGCTGTGTTTATAATCAACATATTAGACTTATTTATCATCTTGACAACATGCAATGTTGTAGCGGGTCAATAGCTATCTTGCCAATACTTTCTTTGCACTTTTCTCACTTTCCGAGTTCGACAATCAAAATTTTATTTAAACTTTAACACCTCAAAAATTTACATCTAATATAACTTAACAACATTTAAATTCACCTTAATCATCTCGATAATCTAAAAAAAGGGAAAAAAAGCTTTAAAATATGTATTTTTTCTTTTCACAGAAACTTCATATATACCTCAGCCGAATGCCTATAACCTCCCTCCCCCTCCCAAAAAAAAGGTCAGTGTGCAAAAGCAGATTTACATTTATTATGGGTAATCTGTTCCCCGTCAGTCCGGTTCGATCCAATGGAACTGGTCATTTATTTAACATGAAGATGAAATTTAAAAAGAAAAAGGGCGAGGGATTTTGGCTTCTCTCCGGCAAAAAGAAAGAGGTTAAATAAGAGAAATCTTCCATGGCAACTTTCGGCTAGCATGATCGGAGGAATTAATTCCTCCGGACCACGTAAAAAGGGGTGACAAATGTGGCAATTATCAAAGAGGGAAGCAAAGGAGATAGTCTCCATTTTATCTTGGCAACAAATTGGCAAGGGAATCTGGCCGTGAGGAAAAGAGCATATAGAGAGGGATATTCTCTTTGGGAGATAATGTGAAATGTTGGTCAACAGGTGAGGAATTAAAAGAAAATATGAATAATAAGAAAGAGGGTAAGAGATTTAAGCGCCAATGAGAGCGAAACAAATCAATGGAAATAATCATGCCATTCTCTTCTCTTGATTTTTCGAAGAAATAAAATAACATATATATATATATATATATATATATATATATATATATATAATTGGTTTGATCCAATTCTCCCTTGTAATCGAGAATCAGACCATCTGGATACCGATTTCACTTTTAGGAACTGAGACTGAATCAGCACTCTTAGGAACCGGACTCAACCGGCCAGCTCGGGTCAGTCCGGGCGATTTTCGGTCCGATCGGTCCGTCTTGCTCATTCCTACCATTTATAATGATAATTCACAACGGGGCCACTTTGCAGATCCGTGAATTAAATGGGGCGAAACTCTAAAAACAAGGAATAGCTGTTTGGCCTTGAAGGCAAAGCGGTTCAGGCTTCAGCGGTTGATGAAGCATAAGAGAGAGAGAGAGAGAGAGAGAGAGAGCACTTGCTTAAACCCTAGCAATAGACATCCCAAAACCCTCACTGTTCAACATATACGTTGGTTTTCACTGCGCTTCTCTGCACGCATACCGTCGAGCGACCCACAAACAAAACATGGTTCGAAGCATAAAGAACCCCAAGAAAGCCAAAAGAAAGAACAAGGTCCGAGCTTTTGCTCTCTGAATTTGCAAGGATCGTTTCGATCTGACATCCATGACGAATTAGAGAATTCGCGCTTACCCTTTAAGAGAAAAGGGTGTTTCGTGGATTACGGTTTCTAAAAGGCTGCTCTTTTGGTGGTTTTTGGGGTGCAGGGATCAAAGAAGGGAGATGGGTCGTCTTCATCTTCCTCAATTCCTTCAATGCCTGCAAAGGTGTGGCAGCCAGGCGTGGACAAGTTGGAGGAAGGAGAGGAGCTTCAGTGTGACCCTTCTGCTTACAATTCCCTTCACGCCTTCCACATTGGCTGGCCTTGCCTCAGGTGCTTTGGATTGTGATTTTGTCCCTGTTTGCTTGCCTAGGAAATGCTGGGAAAGAGAGAGAGAGTCCTGAGAATTGATTCTCGAATGTTTCTTTTATTTAAATGGAAATTCTCGGATGATTGTATTTGCTTCTGCTACTTAGTCTTGTTTGTTGCTTGCATTTGCAGTTTCGATATTGTCCGCGATACACTGGGTTTGGTTCGGACTGAATTTCCCCATCAAGTTTACTTTGTTGCTGGGACTCAGGTGAGCAGCTTTGCTGATTCAGTTTTGGTTGATGTGTATGGATGCCAGATATTGTCTCTGGAAAGGTCCGAGAACTTTTTATGCTGTCTTTCTGGGCATTGCGTTTTTTACTGCTTGGAGCTTTTGTTTGTCCCCTAGAAATATCATTATTAGGAGTGGTATCATCCTTCATTAGTCATTAATGGGTAGGGTAAAAATTTGCTTCATGAAGCTCTTGGCCTATTAGAGAGGAGTATTATCTATTTGTGTCAGTCACTGCATTATCTATTTTTATCACTGGCTATGTAGTTTCCATCTTTACGGTGCTACTGTTGTTTACAGGCGGAGAAGGCTTCTTGGAACTCAATTGGGATATTCAAAGTAAGCAACATTGCTGGTAAAAGGCGTGAACTAGTGCCGTCCAAATCTATCGATGATGCTGATGAGGAGAGTGACAGCAGTGATAGTGACGAAGATAGCGATGATGAAGCAGGTGGATCTGGGACGCCAGTTTTGCAGGCAATCTCTTGTTCCCTTATGGCATTTGCCTGAGCCTTATGAAAGCTTATGAAATATGGTGTGATTTTGCATGGTGATTTTGACTCTTAATCTTTGGTTTTATTGGCAGCTAAGAAAAGTGGGCCATGAAGGATGTATTAATCGAATAAGAGCTATGAATCAAAATCCCCATATCTGTGCATCTTGGGCAGACTCTGGTCATGTGCAAGTGAGTTGGTTTTGCGCATTTGATTCTTTTTGGTTGTTGGCTTGATGCCACACTTGAGATACTTAATAGAAGAAGGCGGTTGTGCGATGGGTTTAAATGCTTCTCTTTGCTTATTTAGGTCATTTTTGCTTAACGACAAACCAATTGTAGCCTCGAACTTTTCTAGACAAAGAAGAAGCATTTTTTTTTGGCTTGTTCACGGATATTCTCATTTGTCACATCCAGGGTATCATTTGTAGCATGACCTGATCTGGCCATCATTCTTTATGTGCACTTGCCTACTTTGATCACCAGTTTCTTCTTACGTACAAGGAACGTAAACACCAGCTATCGCCAGCTAGTATTGGATAAGTTCTTCATTTCTTCCATTACATGCTGAGAGATCTCATAACTGTTGGGCCTTGGCATATCAATATTGTCGCTGTGTAAATGAAAGCATCGACATTGTTTTTACCACCTTCTCTACCCTGCCAGTGCCTATCTAAGCGATCATCTTTTGCATCCCCATGGAGCTTTCATTTTGCTTACAGTTTTAGAGTGCACCAATCCACATTGGCAATATCATAGTGAAGCCTATGATCATTTTTTAATCCTTAAATGCATCACATGTTATGGGGGAAGAGAAGAATGGCTATTTGGACTGCATTTTGTTGCTCTGCAAATTGCAAGTATTGCTTGTGGAACTTCCCTCGGGTATTCATGTACTGTTACTGGTGTAAGGCAATTGGGATCGTATGAACGGCATAATAAATGGTGATTAAGAGGGTTTTCTTATTAAAACTATTCTAAACAGTATAGAGAACTTTTTTAATGTTCTGGTTGTGGAATTTTTGTGTGTATGTTGTGTGGGTGGAGGTGGTGTTGGTTGATTTATTCTTGGACTATGAAATATTCAAGGATCCTTCAGTGACCTTGGTTATATTTATATAATTGTCTATGCTTGTGTTATTGCAGATATGGGACTTCAGTTCCCATTTGAATGCTTTGGCTGAATCAGAAACGGACGTCAACCAGGGAGCTTCCTCAGTTTTTAACCAGGCTCCTTTAATGAAGTTCGGTGGCCACAAAGATGAAGGTTACGCCATAGATTGGAGTCCTCTTGTACCTGGGAGGCTTGTGTCTGGTAGTGTCAACAGAAGTTCCAGTCAGATCTATTTTTTAATCTGTCCTCGATAGGTGTGATTGATTGTCTCTGCATTAATTGCACTTGGCAGGGGATTGCAGGAATTGCATCCATCTATGGGAACCGACATCTAGTTCAACATGGAATGTTGATTCCACTCCGTTTATTGGACATGCTGCAAGTGTTGAAGATCTGCAAGTACATCAATAAACACTTACTCCAGTTAAATATAGAATTATGAGCACCAGCTTTCATCCCGTTTAATATTAAGCAATTTCTTACTATGAATTCTGCAGTGGAGCCCCACAGAAGAAAATGTCTTCGCCTCTAGTTCAGTTGACGGAAGTATTGCGATATGGGATACCCGTTTAGGGAAGACACCAGCTGTTTCTTTTAAGGCGCACGATGCCGATGTTAATGTTATCTCATGGAGCAGGTTTGTTTACCCTTAGTATGTCCGATATGCACGCTCATTTATACCCCTGCATTGCTGATCTTATTGGTGACCCTGGAATGGTTTGAACCTGTTTAGGCTGGCTACCTGTATGCTGGCCTCTGGGTGTGATGACGGGACATTTTCAATTCATGATCTTAGATTACTCAAGGTATTTCTAATCTTTATTATTGACATAGGAAGTCATCAAGGAATGTTTTCGGAAAGAGGTGACATCTCGTGGAAACGCTTTAGAGCATGACTGCATGAGCCTCGATAAAAGCTTTACTTATTTTGATACAACTTGCCTTTTCAAGTGTTATCTTTCACAAAAAAAGTTTTTTCAATCCTTTTCTTTGTCTAGCTTTTTCTCTAGTAAGTAGCTCGTCTTCATCTGCTATGTGTTCTGTGTTCTGCAGAAGTTAATTCTGATCTATACGTGATAGTCCATTGGCAGCTTCCTGTCGAGTTAGTTTGGCAGCTAGCAACAGTTTCTCGTCTTTAGTTCTTTCTCATTAATTCGTCTTCTCTCTTTCATATCATCCAAGAAGAAATTTCCTGCCTTGGTATGCATCAAAGCTTCTTCACTCACATTTTATGGATACACATGCTTAATCTTGTGAATATGGTCTGTTCCTCATGAGGATGCTCTTTTTAGTCGCTGGACTTTTCGGTCGTATCTTTTCTTTACATTATTATATGACAAACCTAGGACTTTAAAGGGACCTGTTCAAGACGGCACCATAAATTTTCTTGCTAAAGTACTTGAAAACTTTTAGGTCCTTACTATGTTTGTTGTATCTTTTTTCTTTTGGCAGGAAGGTGATTCTGTGGTTGCTCATTTCCAGTATCATAAACACCCGGTCACCTCAATCGAATGGAGCCCACATGAAGCCTCCACATTGGCAGTATCATCGTCTGACTGCCAGCTCACGTAAGTTAACATGCATATTGGGGACTACATATGCAGCATAAAATGTCAAATATCCACAGACCAAAAAAAATGTCAATTATCCAATGTGATAAATGGTAAATGATTTGATGCTCTCACTGAATTCTCTCATTCTTGGGCTTTGACGAACAGAATATGGGATCTTTCCTTGGAAAAGGATGAGGAAGAGGAGGCAGAGTTTAAAGCCAAAACAAAAGAGCAAGTGAATGCCCCCGAGGATTTACCTCCACAGCTCCTCTTTGTTCACCAGGTACGATACATATTGCAGGCATGGGTATTAGGCATACTCTAGAAGCAGCCATTTTTCATTTCCTCGTGCTCAACCATCACTACTCTTTTAACAGGGACAAAAAGACTTGAAAGAACTGCATTGGCATGCTCAGATTCCGGGAATGATTGTATCTACTGCGGCGGACGGTTTTAACATCCTGATGCCCTCGAACATACAGAGCACTCTTCCTTCAGATGGTGCCTGAATTTTGACCAAGACCGAACAATACCCGCCGCACTTCCTCAAAGGACGCAGGCCTAAATGCTTTCCAACCGTGGAGTTGCAGTGCAACTTTCTGTGTACACTGTACAAGTCGTGCTCATAACCGCGAGTCGTGTCTGTTTTACATTTTTACAGTTCGTCTCTCTTGCTATGTTCATTAGCTTCGTTTTCCCGCTCTTGTGATGTTTTCCCGATGCGAGGGTTTCTGGGGGTTTTCAGTAGAATATTTGGTCTTGGCGGCCATCCTCAAATTTTGGAATGTTTGGTAACTTGAGATCTTTTGATCGTGAGCATCGGTATAAGTTAATGCACATATAGATACTTTTGGAGTCTGAACTTGTGAATTTCATCTGAAGCATCAGGTTCAATTTTCTGGTTTGCTTGGTTGGTTGTGCTTTTCTTTATTGTATTATGAAACATGCTTGTACTTGTAGGTGAGGAAATGAACTGGAATCTTAGAAAGAATGTCCAATCTGTAGTTGTCAGAAGACCTGGAAGTTGTTGGATGAACTATTAGCAATTAGGTTGTCATTATCATTTCAGTTCTTTCAACAACTTCCCAGAATTTTGACCTAAACTTTCTCTAAAGGTCTTCGAATACAAGGCCGAATATTATGAGAATGGACAAGTGTATTAAAAGTTTTAAAACTTGTCACGAAAATATAATTAAGTTATAAATTTTTCAGAAAGTATAATCAAGTCTTAAAACTTGTTATGAAAATACAATCGAGTTTTAAAACTTTCAAAAAGTGCAATTTAACTTCTTTTTTTGTTAGAAACGGAAGGCTTGATTGGATGAATTTAACAAGTTTTAGGATTTATATTGCATTTTCTAAAAGTTTTAGGAATTGATTATACTTTCTTGATAAATTTTATAACTTAAATGCACTTTCTTAAAAGTCTGAAGAGTCAATTGTACTTTCGTAATAAGTTTTAAAACTTAATTGCACTTTCTGAAAGTCTTAGGAGTTAATTGTACTTTCATTTCTAAAAGTCTTAAGAGGTAATTGTACTTTCGTGACAAGTTTTAGGACATTCTATCCATTTATACGTTTCAAGAAAAAAATACTTAAAAAATATATTGAAATACTTCTTGAAAATACGGTGCCCAAATACTGGCCAATCACAGCCAAAAACACACACGTGGCGGAGGAGCGGGAGCGCAACACCACTAACCACCATCACCACCACCACCACCCTTCTTCCTTGGTTGGGACTCAATCAAAGAAAAGTCCGACCACCCTGGTCTTCTCCGACGGCGACCTCTCACCCGTCGATCTCCCCCCCCCCCCCCCCAAAACCCACCTTCGTTTTCACTCCATTTCTTGACCTACCTGTCTCTCTCTCTCTCTCTCTCTTCCTATCTCGCTCGCTCCCTTCAAACCCAGATCGAGATCCCCTTCGTTTTCCCGATTCTTGAAAAAAATTCCTGCAATTCTTGGACCCGATTCTTGAAAATTTCCTGCGATTCTTGGACCCGATTCTTGAAAGTTTCTGCAAATTCTTGGACGAGTCGGAGGCTCTGAAGCTTCCTCCGCGGGAAAAAAGCTTCGATTTTGCGACATGGGTTCCGACAAGCAACCCCCGAGTCCCACCCAGGAAGAAGACCCTCCGAACCCCTCCACCGCTCTCCTCTCCTTCGACACTGACTCGGTCGACGAGTCCGAGTCGGCGAAAGCCAAGCTGTTGTCTGCTCAAAGACCCATGGCCACCGTCGTGTTCATCTCCCTCCTCCTCATCACTGGCATCGCTCTCGCCGCCGCCGCGGCCTTCGCCTTCCTCTTCTTCTCTAAACCACCTCTTCCGCCGCCTCCTTCCGCTCCCGCGACGTCGGCGGCGTCGGCGGCTGCTTTGGCGTCGAACGCGTCTGGTTCCGATTCCAATTCAGTTGAAACCGCGGCTCGCCCTCTCAAGAAGCTCCAGAAGCCGGTGGTTCTTCTGATCTCGTCCGACGGGTTCCGGTTCGGGTACCAATTCAAGACCTCGACCCCGAACATCGGCAGGCTGATCGCGAACGGGACCGAGGCCGAGGCGGGCCTGATTCCGGTATTCCCTACTCTCACTTTCCCTAATCATTACTCAATTGTCACTGGCCTGTACCCTGCTTATCATGGCATCATCAGTAACCACTTTGTGGATCCTCATACTGGAGACTCCTTCAATATGGGTAGTCATGATCCCAAGTGGTGGCTCGGCGAGCCCTTGTGGGAAACCGTGGCGAATCATGGGTTGAAGGCCGCCACTTACTTCTGGCCAGGGTCTGAGGTTAATAAGGGATCGTGGGCTTGCCCTGAGGGTTACTGCCGGTTTTACAATGGCTCAGTGCCGTTTGAGGAGCGGGTCGATACGGTTTTGAAGTACTTTGACATGCCCAGTAGCGAGATGCCTGTGTTCATGACTCTGTATTTCGAGGATCCTGATCATCAGGGTCATCAGGTCGGGCCTGATGATCCTCAGATCACCGAGGCAGTTGCTAGGATTGATAGGATGATTGGGAGATTGATCGAGGGTCTAGAGAACAGAGGGGTTTTCGAGGATGTTAATATAATCATGGTCGGTGATCATGGGATGGTTGGGACTTGCGATAAAAAGCTGATCTTCTTGGATGATTTGGCATCTTGGATTGAAATCCCAGCAAATTGGGTGCAATCTTACACTCCATTGCTGGCGATCCGTCCGCCCGCAGGTGTGTCACAGGCTGATGTCGTTGAGAAGATGAATGAGGGATTGAGATCGGGCAAAGTTGGGAATGGACAGTATTTGAAGGTGTATCTCAAGGAAGACTTGCCGAGTAGGCTTCACTATGTGGCGAGTGATCGGATTTCGCCCATAATAGGGTTGATTGCAGAGGGATTTAAGGTGGAACTGAAGAAAACAAAGCGCCAGGAATGTGGAGGAGCGCACGGCTATGACAACGATATCTTCTCCATGAGATCGATCTTTATTGGTCATGGTCCTGAGTTCGCTAGGGGGCGAAAAGTCCCTTCTTTTGAAAACGTTCAGATATACAACTTGGTCACTTCGATTTTGAAGATACAGGGTGCTCCAAATAATGGATCTGCTTCCTTTTCAGAATCTGTTCTTTTGTCTAGCCCATGATGTTTATCTCTACAGCAGCTTCAGATCAGCTTCGCCTCACCGGTTCTAGGACGTCACCGAAGCAAAGCGAGCATTGTAATATAATCCAAAGGACATGTATCTAGGAGTTCGCCTAGGTAATGGGCACGGATCTAGAAAGCAGGCGGTTCATTAGGAAGGTAAGGTTCTAGAATGCTTTGGATCCTTCATTGGTCAGTAATGTGGGATATATGTTTAGTAGTGGAATGCTTTTAATTTGCCTAAGTCATTTCCATTCATCATGAGCTCAATTTGTAAGAAAATAAATGATTTATGTGAGACCGATGAATATATGTCGCCAACGCATCATTCAGTGGCAGCGATTTCTTTGTCACGATTCTTGTGTTCAGGTTATGGTTTGTTTCAAGTACCCCGTCCTGGAACATAGATTTCGAGATAATAAATTTCAAGATTTCACGCATATACACGCCAAAAGCTTTTTGAGCGTTAGTTGGCTGAGCTAGACGGGGGGTTTCATGTGGGGTTGGGGTGGTGGCGGTGGGCTGGTGGCAGCAACTGTGGCTCGCTGGTGGTTGTATTGACAGGGGCGGGAGCAGAACTGGAGATGAAGACAGTGGTAATTAAATGGGGGCGGGGTGGTAGCGCTGCAGCGGCTGGTGAAGTGGTGGTGAAGGCGAAATTACAACTCAAATGTGCTCTTATTAGCTTGTGGAGCGCTTCCTGTTGCTTACAATACGTCTGCAGAATTTTTCTGATGAGAAAACCGTTTTGTGTAGAAGATCGATCCTTTGAGTTTCTTGCTTTGCATCACGTCTTTCCTGCTGTAAATTTTCAACAACGAGAAACTCCTCCTCGAGTAGGTAAATCTCGAATCCACGAAGCATCTCACGAACATCATGGATAATGCAAAGACTCGAGCCAAAGCCTAGGCGGGTGGCCTAGACATGAAATCGTTTGTTGAAGCCGTGTCGTGCGCCTGTTTCGCACACAAATCCATTCTCTTATACTTGAGAACAATAATCTATCTTTCTGTCGTTATGACTCACTTTGCATCGATTCTTTTTTGTTGTCGCCTTCTTTTTATAACCAATTGGATATGGCTCATAGACCCTGATTATCTCAGCTAAAGCGGAGCACATCCCCATTTCAGATCCCTGAGTACACCAAAAGCAAAGGAAAATCTGTCATACGACGCAGGTGCATGAACGAGATGTCTCTGTGAATCAGCACGAGATGTCTTCATGAGGGACCCAATAAGATAAAAGCAAGCGTGACAGACATCTTTCGTGTGCCCTGATGTCAACCTCTACAGACACGCGAACACAGTTATCAGCAAATTCTTATGCCAAAAACAAAGCGACTAAAACACTGAAATAGCTCCAAGATTGTTACTCTCATTTGTCAAAGCCATGGCCATTCTAGTGGGGGGGCAGTTCCATCTTTTCTTCTGGAGGTTAGATAAAATTAATAATGCAAATCAACATGTGGAAAAAGGAAAAGGGAAAAGAAGAGAAAAAAAACAGAGAAACATGTCCACCTTCATGGGGACAAAAGAAAAGCAAGATATGTACCCAGTTAACTAGTCTAAATTATTTTGAGCTGTTTCTTGTTTGCATTAATAATCAAACCACATTAAAATGCTCCAAAGTCACTTCACCTCATGTATTATTGATTTGGGTTCTACTTATAACTAATCATCGAAATAAATATATTTATGATACAGAAATTAATGATGGATTACCATAGAAAGCTAATTACACTACACTGAGTGCGCATGTTACCCATCCTAAGGTGGACGTGAAATAAATTCATTACGCTGACAATGGACCTAATATAAGTTTCTCTCTTAATATGTCTGATATATCCTTGAAATTCTTATTCGATGTGTAGCTAATGTCAAAAGAGGGGTGTCACTGCGACAAGAAAAAGATAGAAGTTGAGTGAAGGCAAATTTATTCCTTCAACATCAAATTAGGAGTGAGCAGTTTCAGGTTAGGTAGTTTTGAGACTCAAAATCTGAAACCTAGTGTGTTGGGGGCCGGTTTTTAGTTTTTGGAAACTGAAATCTATCCTGGAACTGACCCTGTTGGATCAGTACGGCTCTCGAGTCTACCCGGAAACCTGCCAACTCCTTTTTTTGTTTTTTTGTTTCCATTTTTTATAAGGACAAACTCTAGTAAAACATATCTTTATTTACAATCGAGATAAATATTAGTTACGTGATGAGTAAGATCCAAGGTTGGTAGATTCTATGTGGTTCCAGGCCCGATACCTATTTTTTTGGGCCGGTTCCGAGCCTTTAGAACCTGAAACATACCCTATACACCCCGAAATCGGACCAGAACCGGTCGGGTAAGGTTAATTTGATCCGGTTCGAAGGTCTATCCTGAACTTGTGCGCCTACCCTCGATCGATGCTCACCTCTACATCAAACCAGCTGAATCTCCCGAATTCGTGGCCAAAATTTTGTAAAACATCAAATTTAAACCCCCGATTATAAATCGCCCCCCATTTTCCACGCGCCCAAAACTACGTTTTCAGGACTCGAACATCAAAAGAACTACCCAACGCTTCCAGGACCGCACGTTAAAGAAGCAGAACATGTCGACGACGAACCCGATATAAAAATTAAAAACAGACGCTCATGAGACCGCCCTCTTTCTTGTTCCTCCTTTTCTGCCGGTACACGAACCGAAGACCGAACGCACCCACAAAGCTCACTCGGCAGATTCTTCTGCGAATTTTCCCGGAAAATCGAGACCCGGAACACCCACCACCTGAAATCACCATGAATTGTCCGTGCCTTTCCTGCCACGCCGCCGTTCCGTTCTAATCCCAACAACCCAGAAGTTGGGTTCTTCATCTTTTCACTTTTCTTTTCCGGCAGAAGTGGAATCTGACCTGTAGAATCTCTTTCGATTTCCGCCTCGCTGTCTCGCCTTTTGTGGGGTGGGTTTTTCTAATCTTTAAGATGGCGGATGTTCTGAGGTCGCCCTCCCTGTACAGTCACCGGCTCTCCAATCCGCTGTCGGCGTCTTTCCCAGCTTCTGTTAATCCTGTGGTCCCCAATTTGAAATCGTGTACGCGGGTTTTGTCAGTCGCAAGTTGGTCGATCGGCGGTGTTTCGCCACTTGCGTTCAGACCCAGAAAGCATTTTGCTTCTTTGAAGGTATAAAGGGTCTCTTGCCTTTTTTGCGTGTTGTTTCTCTTCAATTGCTTGCATGCTTTTGGCCTTTTTGTGTTGCTGTTGTATGTTATCGCCCACTCAATTTTTTGTTGAACTGTTAATGATTGGGCACTAGTATTGCGAGAATCAGTGGTCTTGTGGAGACGGTTTCGGATTCTTTTGGGTTGATTTGGAAGGGGGCCATTTGGTAATACTGTGGTCTCATTCTCCAATCTTGTCTGCAAGTGGTGCTTTTCGTGCAGTTTCAATTGAATATCCGGCTTTTCTTTTTTCAATTCACCGATGATAGTAATGGGTTGTCATTTGTAGTTGAAATTCAGATTCTAGATGAAAGAATATCGTTTGCAAAGTTGGAATCTGGCAATCTGAATACGTTAAACTGATACTCCCGGTGTCCAAGTAGGGAAATTACCCAGACCACTTTGGTATCATATCATGCATTGGATGTTAAAGTAGACTCCACATAGAAGTTTCTATTTTAGCATGAAATGCGACCCTTTTACCTAAGCATCTAGTATCTCAAAATGTCTCCTTTTCAATTAAACGATTGCAGTTGCCTCTACCCCTGTTGTGCCACGTCTAGGACAAGCAATGTTCCCTGTTCATGTTTTCATTTTACGCCAATCCATTCTCCAAAATACTCTGCTCTGGCCCCTGGCTAACTGAAGCTTCATTTAAAACCAGGATATATGCGCAATGGTTATCACTTATTGTTCTTGATGATGGAGCCTGATTTTGGTTCTGTCTGTAACAAAAGAATTTTGGACACAGGACTTGTGGAAAGAGAAACTTGTAAGACTGTAGCGTCATTTTTTTTCACAGCTTTCTCAATCATGTGTTTTGGGGCAACAATAGTAGGAGCTATACATAATCATACTTTTCCATCATGGAAATCTTTAATGTTTTTTGTTTGGGGGGTTGAGCAGGTGAAAGGATGTCTTTGTTGACTATCTTTGATGAGCTTTGGTTCTCATTATTCGATTGTTTATGCTACAGTATGTCCAACACTCAAAGTAGTACTTTTCATTTCTTAGTTTCTCTTCTCATTCTCTGTCCTATCGGTGGCTTCACTTCAGGTGCATGCCGCAATTACTGAAACTGATCAGCCAAAATGGTGGGAGAAGAATGCAGGACCAAATATGGTCGATATTCATTCTACACAAGAATTTCTGAGTGCTTTAAGTCAAGCAGGAGATAGATTAGTAATTGTTGAATTTTATGGAACTTGGTGTGCTTCTTGCCGAGCATTATTTCCAAAGGTAATTCTCAACTTTTCTGTCATTTTCCTTCTTTAATAATTCGTAAGTTATCTTGCAACAGCTGGCATATGAGGAATATTCTTTTTGCTTTATCCCACTTGGAAACATAGCATTGGAAGAGGAAGCTCTGATGGGTGATACATACATGTTGTATGCATATTTTGTGTGTGTGTGTGTGTGTGTGTGTGTGTGTGTGTGTGGGGGGAGGGGGGGTTTGTGTCTCAGACTGCGAACACTCTAAGGTAATCTTTTCCATTTGAGATTTATTCTGCCCTAACGTTTATTGGGGTGTTTGGTTGCATTTTTCACCATTCATGACCAGAGCACGTTGAATGAAAATGTAATGGCCTTCTGGATCTGCGCCTGTGGACAGACTTTTATTTCTACAAACATTTTCTGAATATTTGGGATCTTAAAAGTTTAAGGAACTTAATGTATCTAAGATTAAGAGGGCTTCTTGAAAACCAAGGGGACACTAGGTTTTGGGAAAGAAAATAAAGTGCAATTTTTTCCGTAAAGTGTGTTATTAAATTTGTCTCGACTGCCGTTGGCCTCAGGAATATCTATTGTTGCAATTGCTCTTGATCCATCAAGCATCATTGTGATATATTTATCTGATTGTCTATGTGTATCAGCTCTGCAAGACAGCTCAAGAACACCCTGAGATTTTGGTCTTGAAAGTCAATTTCGACGAGAATAAGCCAATGTGCAAGAGCATGAATGTTAAGGTGCTACCATATTTCCACTTCTATCGTGGTGCTGATGGCCAGGTGGAATCCTTTTCATGTTCCCTTGCTAAGGTAAGTTGAAGTGTATATATTTTATGTAGTGAATCTTGTAATAATTCAACACCACCTTTTTTTTTTTTTGGTATTTGTTGTGTTACAACTTTAAGGAAAAAAGCGGTGTAGTTATTGAAAGGTAGAAAAAGCTTAGATGGTAAATAAGCTCAATCAGAACCCTTGACCGGCTGATAATCTTTTAGGGATTAGATTTTGCATTCCTCTGGGTATCCAAAGGGATGCCAAAAGATTCTTGCATAATTAGAGAAAATAGTTAACACTTAGGTTAAGTTGGGTATGCAAATGGTAGGATCAGTGATAATGTTCCTTCATTTCTTTAGACTTGCTTGAATAATGGTAAAATCGATAACTAATGCATGCTTGCAGTGGTTGCACAATAAGTAACCTGCAGCTCGTGCTTGTCCTGTTCGCATCTCATCGTTTCTTTGTGGGATAATGTGCAGTTTCAGAAGATAAAGGATGCGATTGAAAAGCACGGCACGGCTCGGTGCAGCGCTGGCCCGCCGAAGGGAGTGGGAGATCTCAATCTTGATGTGAAGTCTCTTCTGAAGGACAATCAAACAGGATCTACTTCGTTTTAGGACCTTCTTAAGGGTTATATAGCCATATTGGGCATTATCACTGTCCATATTGTACATAAAAGAATTACTCTCGATTAATGCTTTACACAATGTCTTTGCTCTTTGTAAGAGGACTTGATGGCAAATTCTGCGCATTGCATTTTGTCATTCAATATTCTCTATGATATATCTGTGTGTTATAGCAAAGAGCTAATAAAGAACGTGACTTATGAGAATTGCAGTAAATTGCAGTAACTTTACTGTTTGTTCTTTATGACCAGCTTTCAACTAAAGAATCCATTTGTTTTTTTTGGGTAAGGCATAAAGAATCCATTTGTTAAGCCTTCCATTTGTGAAGATTCTCCTGCCTTCCATCGTTTCATGTGGTATATATATAATTTGAGTGCTGATTAAATAGCCCATTATGTAATTACGGCGGTTAATATACAATTATCATGAAGAAATGAAATTCCGCGCCTCCTCTCAAAGAACCTAGTGAGTCGATACTGGTGACAACTCAAGTCGACCGTACAGATGACCACCTCCTAGGACGAGGAAACCAACCTTAAGCAAGTATATTTCGTGTGAGTGAAGCTCGAAAATGAGGTTTTTCACAAAATTCTATGAGTCGGTTGCTCAATTACGGGCATAATACAATGATCTTCAATAGATGAGGTAATTTAAAGTTGGTGTTCATTTCATTCCTATTAAGTTAGTAACTATCAAAATGTGTTAGTAAACATGATTGATTGGTAGAATTATAGAGTTCTTACGCATTTGATGGGTCGAGATTCGAATACGTGCCATGTGTTTTAAGTGTAGGCGCAATTATCTGCACGTTTTTACTAGTTAAACTTCAAATGAGAGAAGGAACTAACTGGTAGATATAACAATTCGGCAAAAAACCTAATCGATATCATAATCATAAAGCAGGAGCATGTGTACATACAAGTCACATTATCAGATTTAAGGGTATAGTTGACAAAGGAGAACTGAGTCCGTTTATTAATACACAACCCCATTCCTATTAAAGCATCTTCAATCTGTTCTAACATAGCAACAGCAGGTGTCACTTCCTATGCTTTAAACCAAAGTAATATGAGAATTCATATCTGTAAAATCAGCGGACTTGAGCGAGGACAGAAGTGTGGCATGGAAGGTGTAAGCACAGAACCCAGGCATTCGCCAACTTCTCTCACTTTTCCGACCGAATGGCCTCGCCTCTGTACACCCTCCAGGGTCCCTTATAGAACTTTGGCATCATGAGAGGAACCTCTTGCCCAGGATGATCTTCCCAGTACTTCTCCTGTTCAGCATCATAACACGTGCTTCAGTCAAAGCCTAAAGAAATCGAATACAGGAAAGTCTCGGGCGTGCGTAAAAAAAAGATGGAAAAAACGGCGACTTCTCTTTTCTAGTCTAGTTCCCTGCTCTCCAAAATCATGTCCATCAATGTCTATTTCAATTTGCACAGACTTTTGACGGAAACCATCCAAAGATCTTGCCTAATAGATAATCTCTTTAAAAGCTCCATAATCATGTTCAAGGTTGAAAGGATAGTATCAACTCTACTATTATAAGATAGGCAAGAACTTGTGAGGACTCAGAAGTAAACATAGACTCATTTTACAATTGCCACTGAATCAAGAAGCTAATGACAAATTTCCACCGCGGCTAATTATGGGCTGTTGGAGAAGCACCTTGTACAGTTGCTCGGTGATTGCTGCCCCAACGACGCCGGTATAAAAAGCAGCGACGTAGATGGTGACCAGAGGCGTGAAAGATTTAGGCCGTCGATACGGATCGACCATGGTCCACAGGATGTTCTTCTCCCACTTGGTGTACAAGTAATCGGCATACTTCCTCCATAGATAACTCGTCATTCTCGCCGCCCTCTCACGTTAGTCCTCACCGAGCTGGAGAGCAGAACAGCAATTGAAGTTGAGCACAGCGAGAAGAAGCACACATCAGTCTCCACACACTTTTTTCTAAACCATAAACACAGCCAATACAGAATCACCGCCTAAAGGGTCATTTCGTCGAACACCTGATATGCATCTTCATCGAAACCCATCTCGTATCATCGCTATCGTCGACCAACAACGCGGGCATGCACAGATTGGACAAACGAATCGATTAAATGGGCAAACTTGCACGACCAGACCCAACTACCCAACACATTTCAGGCTTAAATGATCGAACTTTTTCCGATAATTTCCACAAGCATGCAATGGGCAAGACGAATTGTCCGCTTAAAAAACAAGATTAGTGGAAACCACGAAGAACAGAGGGCGACCCACAAACGATGAATCGAAAGCAAACGGAGAAAGAGAAGAGGGATGTACAGACGCTCGCCTGCAAGTTTGCGAAGAAGGAGCGGCGCTTCTTCCCGGGAACGAGGAGGAGGACGAGGAAGAGCGTGGACACAAGAAAAATAGGCGAAAAAAAAAAATGCGAATAAGATGTCCCTGAAATTAGAAAATTAAATGAGCTAACAAAAAAAAAATCCTTTTTAACCTTTTTCATCAAAATATAAAATGAATCTTTGATTACTTTTTTTTTTGTGGATTTTAATCACATGATTTATGAAATTATAAGAAAAAAGAAATCAAAAACCATGTTTACGATTGTATTACTGGTGTTTTGTTGTGCTATAAACTGAATTCAGTGTGTCATAATCCAAAAATCGTTTTTCGATGATATCATACTAATTAGAAAATTAAATATTTTAGTGCGGATAAATTAATTTGTCTGGTGAAAATAAATCTGATGCATTTGGCATGAAAAGGTGGATTGATAAAAAGAAATCTCTATCTCTGAACACAGCTGATTCGACGTAGAAAGATTTTAAGCGGAGGAATTTGAGATCGCCCATTAAAATCCCACCACTATGTTGCAAACTCCTCTAGGACAGGTCCACCAGCACAAGTCAAAATCTAGACTTAATCGGTTTACGGACCTGCAGGGTATTTTATGGGCCTCTAGGTAGCCGAGTTTTCACCCTAGATAAAAAGAAGAAGAAAATACAGAAAAGTCAGTAACTCTAACTATGAAAGGTAAAGCATAAGAGCGGTTTTGTCAATTAATATCTAAAAATTCTTGCATGCCATGATTAGTAGAAATGACAGGAGATGGTCATGCTATTAGCATTCTTCTATACTAGTTGGAGGGCCTCTTTTGAACATTTCCTAGTTCATGATTATTTAAAATAAGGACAGAATTAGTATTTTAGTATATAAAATGGATCTCTCTTTCTTGTACTCAACATAAGTTTAAGTTGTAGAAAAACTTATGACAAAAGGTTCAGGAATAAATTGACCAAATTCTTGACCCGAAAAAATTGGACAAATTAAAAGATTTAGAATTGAATCGGCACAAGTGCATTGGGTTTATGACTTTTTTGATAATTATTCCATAAATAGATGATAAAAAAAACAGAAAAAAAACTAAAAGGTGTAGATTGATATTAGAACCAAGACATGAAATAGTTGTTGTGTGCAGAAGAGACCATAAATTAGAGCTGGAATTAGAATTAAAATCCGAATTGAAATGGCAAAACTCTATTTAGTTTATTATTCACAACTAAAAAGGGTGGACCAAAACTCCCCAGGAATCTTGAACTTTTGTATTTAGGCTAAAGCTACAAAAGACAATGTTACTGTGATGGTATTAATCTCATGAATCATAAGACTGATAATGGATCGTCCCAGTAGCCTGAAAATGTGTAGAATACAATCAGTATTTCCTAAGACAAGGTATAAGCAGCCGGAGTAGGACCCCGGAACTGCGTATTCGAGGCGTCTCCACCGCCGGATCCGGTGGCTTGTGGATCGTCGTCCACCAGCGGATCATCTGTCTCCCTCAATGCTCCATGCACTACGACCACCACGACTCCGATAAACAGCGCCACAATTATGTTATCGGTCGCATGAGTGAAAGAAAGCGCGAGGACGGTGCCCAGGAACAACGTTGTCATCACCACCCGATCATCGATCTCTCGGCCGAACAAGGTCAATGGTTGATCTCTCAGGAAGTACAGGAACAGCCACGCGATCATCATCACCACGAACACGATCAGCGACACGGGGTGCCACAGCAGGCTCAGGAAGAGGATCGTCAGCACGATGATGGCGTAGTTCATACGGAAGATCGCGACATTCATTTGGATCCGCCCGACGGATGCGCCGAGGGCGTCTGGAGGGGCCATTGCGGAGAGCAGGAACATCTCCTTCCATGGTCGGCGTGTGGCGAGGCCGGACCTGATCCGCGCTTTGGCTCGGGAGATGAACTCTAGGTCGGACGACGGCGGGGGTGATAAAGGTGATGGTATGGTTCCATAAGTTGTCATTTGTTCTTGGGTCTGGGAGTGAAAGAAATGGGACAAAGAAGGGAGAGAGAGGAATAGAATAGAGGATTTTTTCCCTGTTTTTTAGGGAGGGAGCGAAAGGTGTGTAAAGTTGCAAAGGTTTTGCCAAAAATGTGCAAAACCACAGATTTAGCTGAAAATGTGCAAAGGTCTCGTACAAGAATTCTATTTGCCTATATATGGTCTTCCTACTAATGACATCAGCGAACGGGTCGAGTCTAGGTCACGGGAGTATTCGGTTCATTGTTCCGCCTTGAAAAGATCAAGGAAAAACCACAAAGATTTCCTGAGTGATAAATCACAAAGCATGTGCCAGTAAACTTCGGTACGTCGATTTGCAGCACGAATTTGCATCATTTTTATAGGCAGAACCATGGTAGAATTTAGACATGAAACATAAGCATGTGCCAGTAAACTAAGAGCTTCCACAATTGGCATGCCACTAGTTCTTGCTTTACATTATTCAGGACAAAATTCGGACTTGGTCGAAATCAGTCCTTTGCTTATTTTCTGCTCTGGCTTGTATACTCTAGATAGAAGAGGATAAAGAATATACAACACAATACTCCATAACTAGGCTGTCCTGAGAAACTGGGAATCTGAAAAAGTGGGAAATTGACAGAGTGGGAAAAGTGGAGAAATTAAAACAAAGAAAGAGAAATGAATCCGGGTGCCGTTGCAATCAGGCATAGATCAACTCCAACCCTGCTTATAGCGGCGGAAGAGCTCTTCGGTCTGCGCATTCCGGAGGGCGCAGCAGGCGATGAGGTAAACCCAGATGAGGATAACCACGGCCACGATCAGGATAACATTGGCCTTCCTCCATTCACTCCTCAGGTTGCCCAAGAGACCAGCCTTGCATGAATGGCAATTGTAACAGAGTTGGGTCTGGTCGTTGTTCCACAAGTAGCAATCTTGGTCTGCATTGGGGTTCACTGGGTTCAGCCACATTGTTGGGTTCATGTATGTGTAGCCACACACTGTTGGTGGCTTGCAACACCCAGACTGTGCCCAAAGAAAAAGGACAAGAAAGAAACAATGTCAATAGGAAGCAAGGAGGAGGGGACAAACTTAGGCATTAAAAATCTTATCTTGAAATTGTTCTTTTTCCTCCATATTTTGCACAAGTGGTCCCCCAAGATACTTTGTTCATGACTTGTGATTGTGAGGCAAAATGATTTCCATAATGTCAGACTCTCAGAGATTCTGATTGTTGTTATTCTTTGATTCACAGTAGAGAAGCTAAAGGGTTGCACAGTATGATAGGAGAAGAAAAGATGAAGGGGGTCACAAATCAAGTAAGCAATTATCTCCATTTTTTTTCGTGATTTGTATTAACTAGAATAAGAAGGGTAAAAATTTCACATGTAGTTGATAGAATCTATACTTTTGGTAGGGCCCCTTCTGACATCGCTAAGTACAGTCTGTTACCTAGAATTCACTGAATCACATGGTGCTATGTGGCTGTGGGCAACTAGAAGGCAGTGTCAGTGTCTCTTGTGTCTGGTGTCCTAAGAACTAAATGCCACGTGTACCCAGCTTTTTGTTTCCTTTTGTTTCTTTCTCTCATTTTCTTTCCTGGCCACTTCAGGGATAAGAATGAGCAAGAAACAAATCATCTCGGTGCTAGAAATTACAGCCACTCTAATGTCTAATCTTGAAACAATGTAGCTCCATAATTCTGATGAAATGCAGGAAAAACAGCAGATAAAATCATCTGCCATGACTTGCACTTCCAAATTTCAGCATTAAATCGAAGAGTGTTTCTCTATTCTAAGCCGAAACCCTCAAAATCAAGAATTCAAGGCAAAAAAAGCAGTTGCACCTCCATCAAAATCACCCAAAACAGAGCAAAAACAGAGCCTTTTACCTGAAGAGGGGAGATATGAGCAGCAAAGAACTGATCAGCAGTCACATACTCCTGATCCAACTTCACACAAACATCAGACTCAGCAATACACCTCCTGATCTTTCCCCAATTCCCAGAATTTGTCACGTGGTCCCTCAACCAAGAAGAGAACCCACCAAGCCTGTAGTCTTTATACCCTCTCCCAGGCACAGAGTAGCTCCCATCAGGCCTTGTCACCACAAAGGCAAACACGAGGAGTATGAGGATGAGGACTATGAGCAGTGCCATACAGAAGAGGTAGAAGACCAAGAACCCTTTCTTGTTCCAGAAAGCGCCAATGAAGCCACAGAGAGAGACTACCAAAAGCAGAATGCCCACGATGAGGACTGGCCATCTGAAGAAGTGGGTGCACTGGTTGTCTGCCTTTGAAGAAAGCCAGAAGCCTGCACCAATTATGGCAATTGAGCTGAGGAGGGCTACGAAGTTGAGTACCGCTGTGATTTTGTTGCTCACACCCATGATTTTGGTGCTGAGAGAACTGGGAATTTTGTGAAGGAGAGAGTGGGATTTGAGAAGACGGGATCTGGGAAGTTCTCTGTGGGGGAAGTGCAATAGAACTTTAAGGATGTGGGGAGGTGTGGGGAAGAGTGAAGAGGAAGTGTTGGTTGGTTGATTTTGGGATTGGCTAAGCGGTAGGGCAAAGGATTCTTTATTGGGTTCATATTAGTGAGTGTCCAAAGAGTCATTGTAAATCATTATTAAACCAGAAAGTTCAACAAGTCGCATAATAAGGGAGAGCAAGGTCTACTGATTAAAGATGCTTGCCTTGACATCTGTCTCTGTCTCTGTGCACAGTCGATGTATGGCAATTTCCAATACCATGTAAGGTATGAAATTGTGAAGTTTAATGTAAGAATTTTCAGTAGCTGGTTGGAACTAGTGGTTGGCTGGGTCCGCCTCCTTTGTGGTGCCCAGCTGATTATACGACAAAAGAAAAAAACAAAAGAGAATAGTTAAAAGAGAAAAGAAGGAGAGCTTCGTGCGTGGAGAGCAAGAGGAGAGAGAAAAGAGAGCGAGGGAGAGAGTATCACTGAGAGTTAACGTAGGAGAGGAAGAAAAAGGACCGTGAATTTGCGGTTCCAATTTGAACGCCAAACGTTGTCGGAATTGACTCGAATTTTAGTATGTTGTTCGTGAGACTACTGGCTACGATTAGATCGGGTTCGTTCGTTGAGAGGTTTCTCTGAATTCTCCAATCGCGATTAGAGTTTCTTGCTTCATTTGTGTTAATCCATCCTTACGGTGATAGAAATACTGTTATGTTGTTGATGTTGTTGATGTTGACTAGAAAGTATGAGCCTCTATATTTGTATATATTACATATGTGAAGGTGGTATTAAAACTAATTAGATAGATCTTTACTTGCATGTCACTAACGATTCCTCTCCTTTAACATGATTGGCATCACTGTGGACCCGAGAAAACTTATTATCCGGCTCCTGAGTAATTCCTAAAATTAGGTAGTTCAAAATCAAATAACTCAAGGATTGTTTTTTACTTGTTTTCGTTCTCTTCGAGTGAGTATACCTTGATTCCGTCTTCTTGGAAGGCCATATGATCGGAGGGAGAACTATCAAACAATGTCATGAGCTGAAGACCATTCGTTTGTTGGAATCTCACATGGCTAATCAAAGCTCAAGTAATCAATCAAAGATGGCACCCTCAATGTCAGCCACAGCATGTGAAGATGTATTTTGTGGGGTTCTGTGACATAAGACAAGAAATAGGTGGTCAAAGCTGAAAGTGAGAGCCTGGGAAAACACTCAAACTTAAGTCAAAATGGATGGTGATCACAAGAACTTATGTGGTATTTTCTTTTTCTATTTGACTCAAATGGACAGTGAACATAAGGACCAAAGTTAACTTAAGCCCATTCAACATCACCCCAGAGAGGGCCAAGAAAGCTGACAAAGAAAAGAAAGAGTTATACCATCTCTTCTGTAGAAGTTACAAAAAACTCACTGTAAAACAGACAACTGGAAGTTACAACCACAAGACCATGTTTCTTTCAAACCAAGAAAAGTAAAAACAAAATCCAAACAGAGTCAAATGGGCCTCATCCATTTAGTTATTGGGAGTTCTTAGACAACTCCATTGCATCCATTGCTCATCATTTTCTTCATCGACTCAAACCTGGGCTCTTTTTCTTGAAATTTGGTGGTAGCATAAAGCTTCAGGTACTCCCCAAAAGTGTACTTCTCGGGGTACAGGAGCTTTGGCACCGGCGAGATGACCGCGTCGCCCGCAGGATTGTAGAACGTGGCCACAGAGAGCCGGCTCCCGCTCTCCACGGCCATGACACGGTGCCAGACGCTCTTGTACCGACCGTTGCTCAGCACCTCAAGTTGGTCTCCAGTGTTGACAAAGATGGTGCTGTTTGTGGATGGTGGGATTGGAACCCACTGGCCATCATGGACGAATTCAAGCCCTGGGACTTGGTCATCCTGAAGCAGCAATATGATCCCACCTGCATCAGTGTGCTCTCTGAGTCCTCTTACCCTTTCCGGATAGGGGCATTCCGGGTATTTCGCCACCTTCGTCCCCACAGTCGGCCCATTTTTCCCAGAGAATGCCCTCTTTATGTGGTCCTTGTCTAGGCCAAGATTCTCACACATGAGCTCTGAGAGGTTCTCTGCTAGTTTAATCAGCTGAGCAATGTACTCATCCATTGTCTCCCTGAAAAAGTATAGCCCAAAGTATGAGGCAGTCACTGAGTAATATTGTATATACTAAGACCGGCGGACTAAATTGATCTACAAAGTGATGTAACGAACCTTAAGCGGTTAATCTGCCAAATTATCTTTTAAACCGGTTTACTATACTGGGATTAGCATCTCTAGCGATATTACTTAGTCACTACAGCAAGATTGGAAATTGGAAGTTCTCAAATGATCAGGAACTGTAAAGTTGTGATAGGGACTAATTTTCACGCACCGAAGATCATTCGAGAGGTTCGGGAAGTCCTCGAAGTTCGACTTCGGGCGATGCCAGATGAAGAAGGTGCATTCCCAGTCTAGATCAGATGTAGCACCATCGGCACTTTCCAAGCATTTGGCAGTTTCTGACTCATAAAAAATTGCCTTCAAATTCTCCTCATAGTGGGTGTTAACAAAATGCTTCACTTTCTCCATCAGTTCTGGGTCAACCCCATGGTTCTTAATCTGCAAGAAAAGCACCACCACCATCATCACACAATTATTTCTTAAGATAATACAGTGAGTTGGGTTGACAAAAGGGATTGAACTTTCTCGGTGACGATGAAACACAAAATGTTTACCTTGAAGCAGCCCCATTTCTCACAAGCATGGTGAAGTAGGGCCATTGTTTTGCTCCTGTTCTCACCATCAAGCTCACTCAAATCTATCATAGGAATCTCCATGTTTTTGCTTTCCCTCTTTCTTTCCCTCTGAACTCTCTCTGACAAGTTTATTGAGATGGTTGATGGACAGGGGTATATATAGGGTTGGAGATGGGTTGATTTAGTTTATTTTTCTGCCCACATTTGAGGGGTCAATGTAATTATTATACAAGGATAATTATATTAATTAGTTCAGTTGCAAATTAACCGTCGCCTGGGTTGGAGGGTTGCTGTTCCTTTAAAAAGGCAAAGCTGAACAGTCCAAGTTCATTTCATCAGTGGCCCGGGGCATGTGATTCAGTGTCTTCTATGTCTTGTAATCTAAGCACCCTTCTTTTTGGCAAAGCATTAATACACTCAGCTTATTAGGAAACAGACCAAAAGCATCTTCGGAGTACTTGTTTAGTAGCTCATCTCACGTTAACCAAGTTTTCACGCATTAAACTCGACACATGGATTAGAACCCAATTTCGGAACTACGTACATGAATTCAAAACCGATAACCAAAGATCTAGTTCTCCCTCAGCTAGTGGTCCTTTTTAAAATTCAATCTGTTAATCATTGACATTATTATATAGCACTCAAATCCATTAATGAATTCTCTCTCTAACTTAAATAATTTCACATGCATGGACAGACATAGATATGCACCTATACGTAGGACAAGAGTTATAATCTGCCGATTAGGCCCTAATTTGGGTCACTCACGGTTCCTTGAATTGCAAATCATTGGGTTGTGAAAAGAACCTGTGGGCAGTGTGTGAAGCTAAAACAGCTCCATCGAAACTAGGGGATGCTCATCTCCATTTCGAGATCTTCCCAATGGGCGATTCGACTGCTCTCAAATAGTTGGGGTGTCCTTTTTCCTGTTGGAATATTTGGGGTCATTCAAAATCAAGACTTTGCTTTTCTCCTTTATTCCCTTTTCTGACAGATTTATCAGGTTTTCACATAAGGAGTCAGATCTGCATCAAATCAGGAGATCCCAATCATAATTTCAAAGTGGTTTGTTCTGCATCTTCCAAGTTCCACCCATTGTTTGAGTTAGAGATTCGGTAGTGCTTGTAGACTAGACAATGATTGAAATCCAACATTTAGTAGGGTTGTTCAGCTTTGAATTCTGACCGAAGACTAAGATCAGTAAAATTGGACCTTATGTGAACCACCAACCTAAAGAGCAGATAAAAAGTAGAATAATGCAAGATTTTGAACCTCTAACGTGCACCCTAAGACCATGTTCGACATCTAATTTTTTTTTTTCAAAACTTAAATTGTCAGGAAGTCGACACATTAGGAACCCGCACTAGAAAAAGTTGGTTTATGTAATCCGCAAGTCTTTCCCCCAAAAAACATATATACAAGTTAGACTCATGGATCCAAATGACTTAGGCTGCGCATGGCAACTTGTCAAATAGTGTTTGATTCTGTTCTTTTGTTCCCAGAATCAGTTTGGGAATAGAAATCGGTTTGTTTAATTTTTTGATTCTGGGCACAAATTCTTGCAAATTTGTGCCCAGAATCAGTTTTGGAGCAAAATCAAAAATTAAAAAAAAAGTAGCTTATTGATTCTGGAAACAAAAATGAGAATCAGTTTTTTTTTCTTCTTCTTTTTCTTATTTTTTATAATAGAAAATAATGTCCGGCGCGAGGGCCACCCTCGCCGTATCTGGCGAGATTAAAATATTTTAATAAAAAAATATTATTAATAAAAAAATTTTACTGGCCATGGCCAGCGACCAGGCCATGGAGAAAAAAATAAAAAAGATATTATTAAAAAAAAATTTTACCAGCCATGGCAAAAAAAATAAAAAAAAATATTATTAATAAAAAAAATTTTACCGGCCATGGCGAAAAAAATAAAAAAAATATTTTCAATATAAAATATTTTTTATTAAAATATTATTAATAAAAAAATTATTTATAAAAAAATATTTTACCGGCCATGGCCAGCGACCAGGCCATGGCAAAAAAAATAAAAAAATATTTTCAATAAAAATATTTTTTTATTAAAATATTATTAATAAAAAATATTTATAAAAAAAATATTTTACCGGCCATGGCCAGCGACCAGGCCATGGCAAAAAAAAAAAAGAAAAAAAATATTTTCAATAAAATATTTTTTAGTAAAATATTTTTTTTAAAAATTATTAATAAAAAAATTATTTATAAGAAAATTTTTTACCGGCCATGGCCAAAAAAAATAAAAAATTATTTTTAATAAAAGTATTATTAATTAAAAAATATTTTACCGGCCATGGCCAAGAAGGAGGAGAAGAAAAAAAGAAAAGAAAGAAATATTAAAATATTTAAAATGTTATTAAAATATTATTAATAAAAAGAAATTTTATGTCGTTACCAAACGCATTTATGTTCTTTTACTATTTCAGGAATAGAAATTTTGGGCCGTTACCAAACGCTTTCAAATGCTCAGAATCA